TGGTTTTGAGTCTTGATGTTTTTTCAACACAAATGCAGGGACCTATAGTTTACACTAAGCCACCTTCGAATGGCTATTGATATTTTATGAGGAGCTTTGTTGTCAGAAGTATACTAGGAATATTTGATATTATTAAATTTAACTTAGTTTTTTATGTAAATTGATTTTCTACAACATTTGATTGTTGGTCTTAGCAGGATTTGAACCCTGGCCTTCCGAATGGCAGTACGGAATGCTAACCACTCGGCTACCGCGGCCGCCAAAGAAAAATATAATAGTTTATATGAAATGATATTAAATAAAATCCAATTATATAATATTACAAAATCGAAATAAATAATATATTTATTTTACAATAAATTAAGTAAAAATAAAAAAAATCTAATAAAAAACTTAAATAATTTAACATTAATTAAATCAAAATACAATAAAAGAAGTAAAATAAAGCAAAATCAAATAAAATAAAAAAAATATCACAATAAAAAATAAAGGAAAATATTACAGTAACAAATTGGAATAGAATAAAATAAAATAAAGGAAAACAAAAAATAAAATAAAGCAAAACAAAAAATTAAGTAAAATAAAAGAAACAAATTAAATCAAAATAAAATAAATTAAATAAATTGAAATAAAATATGGTAAAATAAAAATAAAATAAATAAATCAAAATAAAATAGAATAAATACATTTCAAAAACTAATTAATAAAAATAAAAATTAAAACAAAAAATATAGGCGAATAAACTAAATTTAAATTAAATTAAATTAAAATAAAATATAATAAATAATAAATCAGAATTAAATAAAAAAATGAAAGAAAAATATATAAAAAATTTTAATAAAATTATATTAAATAAATTAAATTATGTGGTGATCTCCCAAACAGCTGTCACTTCTACCATTTTTCTTTGTTGTATAACAAAAAAAAAATATTCAATTCATATAAACAATCCAGGGTTTTAGTTTACTTAATATAGCATGGCCGCAAAAACAATTATAAATTATTTCAAATTTAAATTAAATAAAAATTAAATAAATTATTTAAAATAAAATGAAATAAAACAAAACTAAATAAAGTAAATAAAATAATGTTAAACCTTCTTTATTTCACAGTATTTCATTTCAATACTGTGTAAGATTAATTAAGCTAAAAGTCCCATTTTTTACAACTTAAGTTAAAATGAACACCCAACGTCTTATTATGAAAATACCGCAAGTCCCGGGCATTTACTCATATTAAATTTTTTTGCATACCCAAGCACCCATCCTACTAATTTTTAAACGTTTCGCGTGAATTACGAAAGCACTTGCTTTAGTAATTCCATTTAAGCGCAATTAATTACTATTTAAGCTGTTTATTCGAGCTTTTTATAAATAACAATTACACTAAATGAATGTGAATTTAATATAATTTGTGGCTTTTCTTCAATTTACAAAATTATAATTAATTTAAATCGATGCACTTATAATTATTTGTTATTTTAGAATGACACATTTGTACTCACTTTAGATTTACCAGAGAATCAGAGGAATCAGAGACTTTTCAGAAAGTTGCCCACAATTTCAAACATTTTCTAATTTTCTTTTGTTATAGTAAGAAGAGTTTTTTTTTTCAATTATTAAAAATATATTCTTCGCCATTTTCACTATTATTATTATTTTTTTAATTAAAGGTTGAATTGGAATAGAAAATTTTTTTAAATAAATTATAAGAACAAACTTTAAATATTCTTGGCACATAACAGAGTTCGAAAAAAACAGTGTTAATAAAGCTAATAAAATATATATATGGCTTGTGACATATTAGACGTGATATGAAAAATATATAATTCAAGAAAAGCATAACTATGAGCATACATAATAACACTACATTCACTTAACATTCCACGCGATGGCGTTTTCACGTGATATCACATGCCTTACGAGTACTTTGCTGCACTTTCATGTTTTCGAATATATTTTTAGCAACATTTCCGCATGGCTGATGAATTATTTACGTGTAATTCGGCTTAGGTGCACCAACCTTTAAAGTCAATGTACCACTGGCATAATTACATTGTTTGTGGGCAAATACTAAGACCGCTCTTATAGTGGAAGTGGGTATTTCACTTATAGTAAGAAGCTTAGAAGTGGATGAATTTTTCCAACTTAATCTTACGCCGAATGCCATATACATTTTAGATTTCAGCTTTTTCTCCTTGATAGTTTATTTTATAAACAAATAGGTAAATTTTCGTAACGTAACTCCTTTCTTTATTAAAACAACTCATTACTGAAGAAACCGAATTATCGCCAGCATAGTTAACGTTGACACTCTCTTTCTGTCAATCTCTTTGTCCGATTTTCTCCCTTTTGTGATTTTTCGGAAAAGATTACAGCTTTCAAGTCTGCTATTGCTGTTGTTGTAGCGTCATTTATCCAATCCCGCCTAGGTGAGACTAGTCTAAGTCACCAAAGTCACCTAACAAGAGGTCCAGTAAAAGGGCCGTTTCGACAAGTTCGGTGCATGGGTAAAGGGAGGTTGACAGCTCGAGCACTTCATCTATAGGGGTGGCAATTGACTGCGTTCAATGGGAGAGAGTTCAAGAAAGTTTTGACAGATTCTCAAAGAATGGCGTTTTAAGCCTGTTGGTACACCGTCCTGTCAAGCAGTTCTTGTATGTGATGTTGAATGAAGACCGTTTAGTCCAGTAATCTATTTGTGATGTACCTAGGTGAGTTCAACCTCAAGTAGATGTATGTGGGGGCGCTCCCGAGGGTAGCAAATAGCTGTAGGGATGCATGTATATATTAAATATTTTGAGCTCAACATCGGCTGACCGGATTGATATGCCGCCTCATTCTAAGGTCGATTTGGCCATCGATGAGACGATACTGCACGGTGCTATGTACGCAGTCTCGTTCGCTATTCCAGCCGATGATATTCTAGCCGGTACGACAGACATTATCAGGAGACCACTGCAGTTGAAATGTAGAGCAGTCTAGTCTGCCTCAGGTGAATGTTTGTAATACGGGCTATGAGTCTTGAGTGTTGAGCGGTGGTTGGCGGCGGTGTTGCAGTTGTAGGCGGTGCAGATTACTACAGCGTGGGGCAAAGAACGTGTCTCTTCACTCAGGGATAGTGCGCAGGCACCAGGCAGGTATTCCGAAAGTGACACCAGCCTTGACGGATATCACGTTCCGACGCACTACAGCCTGCTGCATGAAGCGATCAGAGTGAGCCATTGAGAGCTGCTGTGTAGCCCCTATAAGGGAGATGTAAGTGAAGCTGGATGTGTATGGGGGTGGGGGTGAAAGGGAAGATTGAGAGTCAAGCTGCGAGCAACTCTGTTGGACTGTTCAGATCATCACTCTCTGAACGTCAGGGACGCAGTTGAGCTCGTGGGAGTATGGGCCCACTTATCGCCTGTTTCAGTAGTGTGTTTTAAGACCTGAGCAGGTATAAAGATTACTCCGGTCGCATCTATCCGTCGGACCAGGATTGTGTTCGACGCTAGCCCAAACGGTAAGGATTTAGAGCAACCTCACTGCGAGTCATCGTTTTGTTGCTAAACTTAAACTACTGAGGTAAACATGGTTAAGGCACTGAAACCCGAGACAACTTCGATGCGCAGAACCAGCAGTCGTAACATTCGCACACACTGCCTGTTCAGCTTATTCATTTCCGAGGACTTCTTTCTCTTAAAGCCATACAAACAAATTTAATTTTGTAGACGATAGATGTAGTTGGTTGGTTGGTTGAAAGGAGGAGTTGAAGAACTGACTGCAGTGGCTGTACTTAAGCATTGAGCAGATTGATTGATAAACTACATATTTTATTTTTTTCCACCCACGCGTGCCAATCTCCATGAGATTGTAACTAGAGACATTGAATTAGATCTGACGCCTCAATCGACCGAAAAACTGGCCCGCACGAAGGTAGTGCTTTAATCTTCTTTAGAGATGGCTTAAAACCCTGATAAGCAAAAGAAAACTATTTTTCATAAAATTATTAAATACGGCAAATATGGTCATGTAAACATTGTTCCAAAAACTTTAGTTTTCAAAAATATATTTTAAGTACTTACATAGTTGCATCTATTTACATACATAAATCCTTCTGCCATTTCAAATATTTATGTACTTATTTAAATTAGCACTCACATGACCAGCCAAGCCAGTCGATGAAACTCGTCAGGAAATAAATTTCATGCGTATACTCATATTTGCATGTAAATCTCATATGTATGTATGTACATATACGCAAGTCATCTACATTTCATATATATATATTATATCCGCTTTTGCGAATGCAACTGTGTAATAATGCATTGTTGATTTATCATCTAGTTTTCTACACCTCTGGCCGTTCTCCTTCAGTCAAGCCAATCGTCCTCCCCACAAGTGATCTTCAATTTTTCAAGACTGTTCTAAGTTTGTATATACAATTGAAAAGTAAATAAATGTGCATACATAATATGTATTTACAATAATTTTTTGAAGCCTCTCACTGACTAATACCAAGCAATGAAATAAAAACAATAAGTTAGCATTTAAGAAATAATATAATTTTTTCTGTTTCCACATACAAACTTATATATATATATATATATATATATATTAAAAGTTCATTATACTGATGATAACAAATGTATAGTGTGTAAGTGTGTCTTTTTTTTTATTCGCTAAAAATGATTTTTACGCAATAACAATTGCATTCATATAAACATACACACATAAATAATTACATAGAAGCAATTTATACCATTGCATGCAAAGTGTCCACACAAATCATTAATGGCACCCATCAATTCAACTAACGGATATTTATATAAAAAATTTTGCATGCTGAATGCTACTTTACTCATTTATGAACTTACTAATTTAGTACATATTTATATATATAAGGTGCGTTTCAAAATTATAAGACACTTTAAAAGTTCTGCTGTTAAATGAAACTTAAAATTGATAGAAAAAAGACTCTGTATTCGCTTTTTTATCATCCTATGCACTATTGTAAAGGGTGTTTTTTAATGACACATCACTCGCTGCGTCCAATATTCGAGCAACATTATCGCCCAGCAGTAGGTTCGGTAATTCGAGCGACCATAGATCAGCTCTACACCGTGCTTACTCTATTGGATAATGCGCGTCCTCCCTCAGCAGTTATCGCTACTGTGGAGCAGAATATCAAAGAAAACCCAAATGAGTACATTCACTATAGAGAAGCACAATTGGAGCCATGTTCATCTACTTTTTGTAAGATTTTGCTGAAGAATCTTGGCTTGCGGACTTACAAAACTCAACTAGTGCAAGAATCGAAACAGAACGACCAGCTAGAGCGTTGTACGTCCGCTAAATAAGCTCAGAATGATGAGATCACCCATTCCGATGTTCACAGGAAAATTTTTTCCAGCGGTGAATCGCACATTGATAGCGAAAAAAATTGCAAGAAGTCGGTATGAGGTACGCTATTTATTACAGAATCCTGGAAATTATAATTTTTTAAAGACAGTCGCGAAAAAATGGGCACCTTAACCCCAAGATCCGCGAAAAAATTATCATATTAATCTCAAACTCTAGGGAATGTTATGGCTCTTGATGCCAAAAATCATCTGCTGAACTGTAATTGTAATAAAGATTTTTTTTTTCGAACAATAATTCGAGTCTTGAGTTCTATTTATTGGAGAGTTTTGCGAAAGAGCACTCTTTGCTTTTCGAAACGTAACAGCGCTGGCGATTCTGTAATGATGTTCACTTGATCTCAAATGAACAGCAGAGACTACATTCAAGTCTCCAAAATTTTGTTGAACCTTACAGGGAAGAGGCGCTAATTTCCCAACAGGGTAAGGGTCGCATTAATGGAAGCAATGAAACGAGCCGATTTTTGGTTGATTGCCCCGCATAAACTATGGACTTTAAACCCTGCGCTTCGGACTTAATTTCCATAGAAAACGTGTGGGGCATATCATTGAAAAGAAACATTCAATAGGAGAATGAAAATGAACTTAAGGCTGACATTACTACCGAATGGTACAACATGGAAATAGAAAATGACGAAATGAAAAAAGATTGCTTCGCATTGCAAGAGGCAGTTATGGGTTAATAGAGCCCGTGACTTGGTTTTCACCGAATTCTTAGAAGGTTTTAGTAAGATTTATTAGGTTTTTACTTAATTAATTAATTATAATTTATGAACTAAAGCCGAACCATCGAATTGAATTCCTCCGGGATAAAAGGATTCCCCGTGTTAATTTGGGCCCAAAGATATTACGGTACCAAATTTTATGTAGATCAAACGTTTTAAAAGTAAATTACATTTTTTCAAATAGATCGGTCTAAAGTCCACATCCCGGAAGAAAAAGTGGTCCCCTTGTCAATTAAGGCAAATCGATACGAATGAAATAGATCGGTCTCAGGTCCACTTGCCGGAAAATCCTTTCGTATCGGATGCGTATCATACGCAAAACACAACCTCAAAGTTTCTGGCCGCTAGGCTGTGAGTTGATCTGTCAGTCATTCAGAACAAAGACTTATTTATATATACAATAGATTAATAGATTAATGACTAATTACATACCGTGAAAAGTCCCAGCCAAAAAGGTTTACTTAGTCCTTGTTAACAACCGTGAAAAACGTTTTGTTCCAAAAAAATGTTTACTGCGCAGTTGTTGTTGTTGTTTTTGTACCCGCAAAATTATTCCCCAAAGTACTTTTGGGGACTGTTGCGGGAATGACAGTCCTTGGTCGGATAAAAATCCGGGTCGCTCCGGTATAAAGACCCGACTGTCGCGGGAACTATTGGATTTTAGTCACCTCTTACGACAGGCGTGCCTCACCGCGGGTAAATTCTTGAGCCCCTAACCCGCAGGGGATCTGCACAGTAAACCAACCAATAACCATTTTCCCCATAATAATAATAATAATATTAAAATTCAAAAACAAGGTGGTGTCTTATGATTCTGAAACGCACCTTATACGTATACGTTTTTTGAATTATAGTACATGCATATGTATATACACGTATGTATGTATGCATAGATGTAAGTCGTATAAAAATAAGCAATCAATTTATGATTGCTTTAAAATATTTGCAAGGCGCATAAATATATTTACATACAAATGTATCTGCAAACAATCACATTCGCAGTTCCATAAATAAGCAAACATGTAGGTATGTCTGTACACTTACATACACGTACTTAGAGCTCGTCACGTGCCTCAGTCAATTTAATGCCTCTTTTATGTGTTACAATTTCATTTGATTCTTATTTTTTTATTTATCATTGTTTCTCTTTCGGTTTTTATTTCTCGTTATTTGACACACATTTTTTTCACAAATTGAAAAACAACATTCCATTATAGGCATATTAGCGTGCTATAATTACAAACATATGCATACATATATAAACACATAAATACATATGTACATATATGCATTTACATATATTTGTTGCGTTCACGTTTTAATATATTTAAAGGCAAATGATGCTATTAAATTCGTCCAACAATTTCAGTCCACATTATTATACGTTAATTAGGATGTATGTATGTAAGCTAATATTTTGTAAAAGAATTCAGCTTATTGTTACTATCATAAACTACTGATTTTTAAGTTGATGATTAGATCAAACGATAAGTGTTAATTAACATTAATATCGTATAAGTGTTAGTTAACAAAAACAACATAACTGAAAATTGTTAACTTTTCACGAAAGATTTTTTGTGCAATTTAGTTGATATTCACTTTTAAAAATTGAGTTTTTTTTTAACAAAAATAATACTAAGTAATAATAGACGTAAGTTTTTGTCATAATTTGATATATTAACCACCTCGTTGCATGATCTTTTGTCAACTTTCGCTAAGTTAAAACCCACCACTTCTTAAGAACCCTTAATTTCTGGGGGAAATAAAACTGTTTCAATCTGCTTCAAACGATTTTCAGCTGAAAAAATGGTACTCATGTTCCAAAGTCACAACTAAAGGATAGATGTGGTATTTTCCTCAGTATTTCACTTCATCTTTTAACGGTTTTTTTTTGACATGTGATTTTCAAGAAGAAATAAACATATATAACTTAATGTTATTGTATATCCAAAAATTTAGCTTTATTCGAAGATAAGGATTTTAAATTATGTTTTGAAAATGATTTTGAGCTTGTGACCCGAATAAATTACAGCCGAGAAACTCAATTTTCGACCACTTTTTACAGTAATTCAGTCCGTATGTTAGCAATAACAAATATTTTCCTCGAAAGCGTAAATTGTCTCGAGTTTATCTGCTTAGACAAGCCCTGCACATAACTTTACAAAAAATAGCTCAGCGGTTTTATATTGTACCTTCTTAGAGGTCACACCCAAGATCCACAACGCCGGATAAGGCGCTCACCAATAGTTTCCTTAAATAAATTGATTGTTTCGATGTTGGATGTTTGGCAAGTAGCGTCGCCTGTGTTGGTGGAACCAAAGGTTTTTCATATCAACAGCTTTCAATTTAGGGAAGAAAAACTCGTTAATTATAGGGTGTTGTATTATAATTGGCTTCATTTAAAAAATATAGACCTTCTCCTCACAGTTCACTGCAAATAATGACTGAACAATGGGAATGCCGACCCTTCCGAGTGTATTTCGGACATAAAATAAAGGCTCCTCGTAAAAAAAATCATTAGCCATTCTGAGCTGGCTTAATATAGATTGTAGGTCCCTCCATTTGATGGAAAAACCTCAAGTCCCAAAACCACAAATTCTGGAAGGAGCTCTGCCGAAAAATTACTTCAGCGGTTACATAGCTCCAATTATATATATATACAATATGTAACGTACCCATTCAACCTAAAGTGAGCTTAATCGCTAAACAAAATTTTCTTTTGAAAATCGGGATCGGATCACGCGAGTTGGATTTTGTTTGCCCGCACACCAGATTCTTCTGAAAAATCTTCCATAAGTCGGATGAATTCAACCGTAATTTTGGACTTATCCGGATCTCCTTGGATACGGTGCGCACTGTCCAGGATATCTGAGGATGAGAAAACGCGGTGCGAAACCCATACATGGTTACTTGAATTTCCGACTTAGCCGGGCGATTATCTCCAACGAATGTTAGCCGCAGAGTTCGATGTGCCGCTCAAACCGAATCATTACTTTGATAATAAATAGTGTTCGGTTTTGTTCTGTTTATTATGAAAATGCAAACCAAACTCAGTAACAGTTGGCAAAAAGAAAAGACTAACTCTGAAAAATTTATTGCCTCACTGAAAACTGCATCCCTAAAAAAATATTCTTTATTCTTTATAAGTTCGTTACGAAAAAGTTCAGAAAGTACTAGCATAAATGTATTTTCAGATATCATAGTTGTTTCCAAAAGTGGGAAAGTCCTATAACTATTAATCCTATAATTGCTTTCAATCAATTCTGCCACATAAATAAAATAATATTTTACTCAAAAAGTTCCTAATTGAACTTAAGTGATTTTTTTTATTTATTTTTTTTTTTCAAAATAATTTCAAAATCAAACTTTTACAGCTTCATATTTATGTTTATGTGTAATACTTTCGATTATCCAATGCCTTCTACACAACTAACTTTCAATGTATGTACGAGTATGTATGTATGTACATTTATTTATATTATTGTTATATGTCTCATTGATTGGGGGATTTTTTTAAACACCAGAAAAAAATCTTGTTGTATATGTAAATGTCAATTATATACCAATGGTATGCAAAAGCATGTATTAAGTAGTTAAAGTGAAATGAGGCGCAGTAGGTCATTGCCACCATTTTTAGATTGTTTTTCCAAAAAATTTCTATGATCATGGGGCTTTTTATATTATATATACACACAAACATTTGGGTATGTATTGTATAAAAAGAACTCGGTTAAAATTATTATGTTCATCAGAAATTCGCTTCAGATTTGATACGTACAATTAAAGTGGAAAAGATTTGATTGAAATTAGTAGTAAGTATTTGAAGAATAAAAAAGTGACTTAACAACGGCAGAAGTTTAGCACTGGAAATATAATTAATAGATAATGTTTTTAAGACGTACTTTTTTAAAAGTTAGTATTTTTGTAGCAGTTACCTGATGTAAACTCAGTTTGGTTTGCCATTTTATATTGAACAGACTTACCCCGGAACAATGTTTGCAAATCGTAGGAATTTATTACCAAAACATTTGGCTGGGTTTCAGTAATCATGCCGACTGATTCGCCGAATATAATCGTTGATTCGAGTAAGCATGGTCCGCTTTCCTCACCTGGTCCTCAAAGATATCGGACAGTGCGCTCCGATGAGTTTGTGTACTGCTGTGCAGCAGAGTATCGGAGAAGATGCAAATGAGTTCATCTGTCATCGCGCACAAAAATTTGGAACCGTGTTCATTTTATAGAAGATTTTACGAAGGAACTGGGTTTCTTCCAGTCAGTGAAGCCGAACAACGCTCAAGTTCGTTCTGCTTTTCACAAGAAAATTTTGTTATGCGGTGAAGCTCACTTTTGGTTGTAGGTTAAAAAACAAAATTGTCGCATTTGAAGGCACCGTTACATTCTCACAAAGTCACTGTTTGGTGTGATCTATGGGTAAAGGAATTTCTTCAAAAATTAATTCGGTCATAATGTTTTAGTCAATGGGAAACACGATAGAGCCAACATTTAAGGACTCTTTCTTGCTTGAAATTCGATGATGTACTTGGTTCTAAAACAGAGGACGCTACATGCCATACAGTACAGAGGCGTGGCCGTCAAGATAGTACGGTTTAACACAGTTGGACTATTTTGTGTTGGGTTATGTGAAGTCGCTTGTCTACGTAAATACTTGCAAGCCCTAACCGAATGACGCCTTGGAAGATAATATTTGACGCATTATTGCTCAAATACGGCTTTCGGATGGAATTCATTGGAACCGGCCACAGTGGTTCTTTTGCCCGTAATTATTTTTAGAACGTAATGTATCTTTATAATACAGCTAATTTCTTGACTATAGCATTCAATTTATTTCTTCCTAAAACCCTTTATTTTAAGAGGATTCATAAATATTGAAATATCTAAAATAGCCGAGAGGTTAGAATTGCGTACTGCTACTCGGAAGGACAGTCTTCGAACCACATCCGAAATGATAGAATATTAATTTTTCTAATTACGGTCTCCCGTGGGCAGGGAACGTCGAGCTCTCCGAGTGCATGAAAGCTCTTCATAAAAATGAAAGCTCTTCATAAAAATCAATCAACCATTCGGAGCTGGTTTAGAATAAACTTTAGTTAAAAAAGGTTTAAATTAAAAGCTTTAAATAAATTTTCCATTCCCTTGTAGTCTTGGAAATTAAAAATCTTAGAAAATTCCACGTGTTTGCGTTTTTTAGGGAAAGAATAATCGGCTTAGGCAAGAAACAATAGCGAAAATTAACACAAATGGCTGCGAGCACAAAAGGTTTAGTAATTAAAAATATCTTGAACACAAAGTTATACCATAATAAAACCGTAAATACAGTATTATAAGCTATTGTGCTGTGTTTGGTGTAAAAAGCGTCAAATTTTTATTTTAAAGTAACTTTTGTTTCAGTTAGAAAACATTTTAAATCTAAAAAACTCAAAAATCCCAGTAAATAAAAAGGCAAATATCAAAATACAATGTTTTGTAAATTGGAATGACAAACATGGCATGAGCGTATTTTTTTATTACTATTATTAACCAAGGGTAATATTACCAAATCATTATACAAACACTTAAATATGTAATTAACTTGAAATGAAAGATGCCTTCATTAAATACTGTAATTTGTTAATTGTATTATTGCACAATAACAAAGGGAGCACACATACATACATACATACATAGTATGTGTACAAATAAAAAAACCTTAATTTTAAAATTTTTGTTCATATGTATATAAGTGAGTCTGTATTATATAGCATATATATATATATATATATATAGCTATATAATAAAATGATTAGAAAAGCGTGCGCAGAATTATCTCAATCGTACTAAAAGTAAATACAAACAACCACAAAACACACACACACAAACATACATTCGAATAGTTAAGCATTGGTAAATAAAGAAATGCTAATTGTCATTTGGCAGAAGGAACAGCGCGCCATTTAAGTCCAAAGTCCAAAGTAGCATCTGTTGGCAAAAGTGATGCTGCGCTGAATTTCCCGGCTGGCATTGTTGTTGGCGGTAATACTGATTCCAAGATAGGCGAAGTTATCTATAACTGCAAAGTTATGACTGTCAACAGTGACGTGGAAGCCTAGTTGCTAATGCTATGACTGCTAGCCAGGAGATATTTCGTCCAATTCTATATGCTATGTTTTCTTATGCAGTCTGAAGAAAGAAGAACACACCTTGTCCGAAACCCCGTTCGTTCAGCTGGGAAAGGTACTTCCCGATTCGGACGGAGATTTTGGTCTTACTTAAAGTCAGTTTACACAGCCGCATAGATTTTACAGGGATACTCCTTTTCATGATATCAAAGGCTGCTCGACGAATGACTTGATACATATGTGTCGATCGTTTTCTCACGTTTGTTTAAGATTTGGTGCTTGGGTAATATCTGGTCAAATGTAGATATGCCAGGTCTAAAGCCGCGCTAATAATTTCCAATCAGTTCGTTGACGGTTGACTTGTCCCGAAAAGGTGATCCAGAAACCGATGCTACACTGTAGAGATCTGAAGGACACATGACCGTCGGAATATATCGCAATTGATTGTCCTGCTATCGTACATTAGAGCAGTTACTCGGCGGCTGCCAGTGGAAGAAGTTGGGGCGAGTTAGCAGTATTTTTGAGCACACTTCACACTTGGTTTTAGAGCCCAAAAAAATCTTGGAAGCAATTAATATTTTATTTTTATTTATTTTCCTGAGAACGAGCAGTTTTATTGTTTTATTTTTATTTTGACTTATTTATCATATTATTTATGAACAAAAAATTGATTTATTGTATTGATTGATATTTACTCTAAAAATTAATTCTTAATTAACAATGAAAATATTTATTCCATGTTGCATTCAATAAAAAATTTGAAATTAACAAAAAAAAAAGGATCGCAAATATTCCAACTGCGCAATCAAAAGATTTCGACAACAAACTCTTACCTGCACACATATACATACATATGTACATCCATACACACAACACAGTAATACCCTTGCTGACAACTTCTCGAATGTTATCGCCTTCGCATTCGCCTTCTTTAACGTCAAGGCACCGAACTCACATACGTACGTACATATGTATGTAAATACCTCACAAATTCAAAGGCAAAGTGCAACACGACATTGCCAAGCGTTAACTATAAACGATAAGCGGGCAAGTCGGAAACCATATGGCGAAAAGACTAACTAAAAACACCCGACAGGTACACCAGGTGGCCCAAAAATGAGTGATATTTACACACATACAAATGATTGTTCTCAACCGAAGTCACAACATTTTCGAAAGATAAAAAATTATCTATGTAACTAATTGAGGCTGAGACAAATATAAACAGAGAGCAATTTTTGATAATTTGGTGAAATGGTGACCGGTTAAAAGTGGTTGGCGGAGGCAGCTTGTTGGTCAGGAAGCCACTGCAACAGCGGAAACTACTAGTGAGCGAGTATCTAACGCGCTGACAGCCACTTTATAGAGCAGCAGAGAGAAAAAAAAGCAATAAAAAAAATTGAATCAATTATTATCACAGCTGATACACATACAATAAATACTCTGAAAAATGGTCATTATGGAATTTTTTAAAAGTGAAAAAAAGTATTATTAATGCGACACATTGTCTGCTATATGAAAAAAGGGAATTTAAAAAATAAAAAATTATCAAAAAAAAAAAAAAAAAAATACTACAAAAAGTAAAACGATTAGAATTTGCAATCCAATAACAATAATATTTAAGCAAACACACAATGCCGAAGTAAACAAATAACAAACTGCACAACGGCTACATAAATACGCGCATACATATGTAGATACCTTTGGATACATAAATACAATACAATATTGAATGGGAAAGAATGCCGAGACTAACGAATAAATGAGAGTGAATATAAATGTTAGTAAAGAGCGCAATAATGCCGAACAATCAAAATTCTCTGCCCACAATACCTGACGGATTGACTTAACGATCACCGACCGACACAAACACAAACGACCGAAAAAAATCTTCGTCGTCTGACGTTTGCGTAGCCAGCAAACGCTTTGATTTTTATAAAGACACAGTTTGAGCCAAGTTCGAAAACAGTTTAGCTTCAAACATCGTCACGTTGAGATAACTCGTTCGCAAAAATTATATCGCGAATAGCGGTTAAATTCGTTAAGCCAAAAATAAAAGAAATAATTAAACAAATACAAAAACAATAATTGTATGTGCCAGTGGAATTGAATGAAATAATTAAATTACAAAAAAAAAATATAAAAAAATAAACGAAATAGATAAAATAAAAACGTTTAAACGCATTAAAGCAAACAAGTTAAATAAACTAAATTTAAATATAATTAGTGGAAAGGCATTCAACAATAGCCAAGCTGGGTGCTGTTTTTAACAAAAGAGTTGAGTTTTTCGAATTTTTAAGTGCGGTAACTTATTTAGTTGTGGCAAAAATGCCAACAAATACAGTTGCCTAAATAAATTTGCATTTATTTATTGCGATTTGTGGAGTCGGCTGCAAAAAATAAAATAAAAACCAAACCGTGAAATTGTAAGCATTTTAAAATACTAACTACTATTGTGTATTTTTTTTTACAAAAAAAAAATTAAAAATAAAATAAAGCAGTAAAATTGTAAGCGCTGGAAAATACTAATTAGTACTGTGTAGTTTTTTATAAAATAATATTTTTATATTTTTTTTCTTAATTTTTATTGAAGTCAAAATTCCCCATTTCAATATTTAAAATATAATTCAGAGCTTTGGGACATTAAATATTTTATAAAAACGCAACACTACTTCCTACTTGCGCTGATGCCAAAAAAATAGAAATGCACATATTCAACAAACGTATGTACATATAAAAATTTTCATTGAAATAATATTAAAGGAAAAGAAATTTACTAATCCAGGTGAAAAAAACAAAATTATCAAAATTTACCGTCGGTGAGATAAAAAAAGAATATATTTAAAAAAGTAATTACATTGCATTGTTGGATAATAATTTTTTTACATATCTGTTCTTTCATTCTACCGACATTTTTTTTTCATTAAAAGACCTTTTTTTTTGCCGATTTTCCAAATTGCAAATAAAAGTCAATTTAAATCATTTAAATAAAATTTTGTATTATATTTTGTATGAATGCTTTTAAATTACGGGTGTTATTTTAAATAATCAATTTTCTATAGTTACAGTTATGATGATGAACAGAATTTATATTAGGCATTTGGTGTTGTGGCTCATAGTTTTAAATCGAAAAAAAAAAATTTAGAAGTGACTTGCTGCAGTTTTCTATTTTTTTCATAATTTTTTCCAAAAAAAAAAACAAAATATACATATGAATAGTAGTGAGGCGTTTGATAATTTCAAAATTTTTCTTTTCGAAAAATATACAATAAAATTCATAAGCAGGTTATACGTCGTGCATTTCTCTACTTACAAAATTTTACGATTGTGCAAACGTAACACAGTTTATAGAGCGGATATTGCTCTGATACCCTTGGCAACTTCGTATAACATTAAAAACATGAAATTTCTAAAGAAAGCGAATATGAACAAATAATTTATAATTATAATTTACTTTAACATTTTTTTAATATTTTTCAAAAATAATACTTATTACTGTGTTAAAAAAGAAAATAAATATTGTTCTAGTAAAAGGTTATCCATTATTTTTATTAAATTTATTATTATATTAAATTGGAGGCTTCAATTTGGTTTATGTCAAAGCTTCTGGCGAGTCACTATTGATATGTGTTGCCTGGCGTTATCCTAATGAAATACAATTCCCTTCATGTTGCTCAAAGCAGGGCGCTTCTACGTCATTGCTTCATCTTTGACATGCCCTCAACACATCTTTCATTATCTTTTTGAGTACAAAATATCATCTTTCCAACGCCATCCAGCCTAAGATCTTATAGAAAGAACGACAGATCACTAAAGCCATATATTTCAAATATGAACCGCTCACTGCACACATCGATTAACTTGATTGGAATTGATCGATTTGTCAACTGAAAAACATAATAAAGTCAAATTTAGTCTTTACATACTTAAGTTTTTTATTACAGAAAAGTTAGTTTTTATACATTTTTGACACAGCTTTTACATATCAATGTTGGCAGCTCAATTATAATATAATATTTGTATTGAATTTATAGCAGCTTTATGTTGGCGCCATTATTCTTTGAGATGTTTCAGTAATATTATATATAATGTCTTCTTCAACAGCTGTATGCGAGGATTCGCCATTTCGATTTTTTGACAAGTTGTTCTAGTAATCCATCCATCATGTCTACATTTTTCCTTTGTCACAGTTCCACCTTTAGAATATAATAAATGCTGATCTGCAGGGTGCGCCATCTTTCAAGTCGGTATGTAAACATTGAATAACTTTGAGAAAAAACAACCGATTTCTATAAGTGGTATATTTTCATTCAGTTTGGCTCCTTCCAATTTTTTAGGACTAGTTTTTGAAAACAACATCAATCAAGTGACCACTTTTATTAGCAATTACATAATGATTCCTTCTTTCTACGTTTGCAATTACCTTTCCGAGCATCTCAGGTGTTATAGCGTCGATTTCAGCTTGAATGTTTAGCTTGAGCTGGTTGGCGTAAACCTTACTTTACAGACAATCCCATAAAAAGCAGTCCGGGGGGATTAAATCAGGTGATTTGGTTGTCCAATCAATGTCGCCTCTTTTTGATACCAGACGTTTTTCCGATATGCACGTTGAGTTAATACAATCAAACGACGGGTTTCGTTGTAAAGTGTCACTATTTAAGCGCGTTGTATCGATGTGAAACGAAACATGGCAAAAATTGTACTGAATTGACGTTTCTAAAACATATCTGATGCAATCGCTCGGTTGATAAATGTGAAAGTTATTCAGCGTTTACTTACCGATATAAAGGATGGAGCACCCTAAATATTTTTCAAATTTTGCATTCTACCCACTATTTTATGCCAAAACTGGAAGGCTTGTGACGGTTACTTTCTGTTAATGATTGACTGTTCAAAAGGTTTTGTTGACAAAAAATCTTGGTGAATCATTTGGATTAGATGAAATGGCGCTTTCTTTTCGCATGTTTTGATTATATGGTACCAATAGTGGCAAAATCTAAGTCATAGGGAAAATAGCCAAAAAATTCATGTCAATTGGTTCAGCTGTGATTTCCATAATAGCCATGAAGCCTACTGCGAAGAGAGAATGAAACTACAGAACAGATACAGTGTTACTGAAGCGATTTACATTAGAGTATGGAGGTAATCGAAATGGCTTCTGAAATCAATAAATTATTATTCAATGGCCAAAAAATTTCCTTATTTAGGAAAGTTTTTAAAAATATATAATACGTGTAATATAAAAAGTTATGACTATACCAAAGGCTTTGACACTTAAATTTAAGATTTTTCAAAAAGTGGAGTTAATCGATGTGCGCACTGTGCGACACTTATATTGGATTACTTTTTACTACATTCATATACATATATTTATATATGATACTTTTTAAACAAGTAATTTGTACATGCATATGTCTGTATTTCTATAACAATATAAACAAATTATAAATAAAAATATATCAAATCAATATTTCAATAAGAACAAATGATGTAATTAATTCTGCGTGTCACATGCGACACTGTGAAATATTTATGCAGACAAAATCTAAATTTAGTCAGGCAGTCAGCTGTCAGTTTTCTTATAAAAATTACTGCGCTTAAGTGCACTCATACATGGGAAATAAATACATACATACATGCGTATTTTTTTATCAAAATCAAAATGATGAATAAACATACATTTAAGAAAAATATATAATTAATATACTTGTATGTATGTATGTATATACAAATGCACAGTTATATGTACATGTATGTAATTTGAGTAAATTATTTGTAATACGAGAAAAATGTCAAATTAATTTAAATGGCAAAAATAATTTTTTTTTACATAGGTATCATATATACATATATTGGAATACTAATTAATTTGGTCCATTTTTCTGTATGAAAAAAAATATTTTTATTGGAAAAAAAAGTTCGTCATTCAAGATGTTCTCTAACGGTGGCGACTACTTTTTCCCATTTCTCATGCAATTTTCAAATAACAACTCTAAAAAATAAGTGCTCTCTGTCCTCGATCCCAAAATTTTTCGATTTCTTCAAAAGATCCGAACCGCTGACGTTTTGTATTCTTCGAAGAAATCATTAGTAGGCGGGAAGAGCGAGGTCTGCGGAATGCGACTGCTGGGGTTAGACTTACTATTTTTGTAATTCTAAGTGGATTTGACGGTTTCAATATATGTAGGTACACAGAGCCAAGCGTTATGATGTTCCAAAATCTCCTTTCAATTAAAATAGAAGATCAAAACTTTCCGCAAACGCTAAACACAAGTCCGGATATTTTCGAAGTGAAAACTTTCCAAAGAAATAAGTAAACGCTTCCCAGATCGATCACAACTCGCCGGTGGAGCCATTTTTTTAAGAACGGACCGCATTAATTTGTGCCCCAATATATATATATATGTATATGTATATGTACATACATATGTATGAACAGGCAATAAATATTTCGTTTATACTACAAATTACGCAGAAACTTTAATTCATAAAAACAAAACAAACAAAACAAAGTCAAAACGAAATTCTTTTCATTAATCAAATCTCATATTTCGCCAATTTCAGCAAAATTCCTAAACCGAAAACGAAGAAAGAACAACACAGATTCAATGTGTAGCACAAAAAGAACAACAAAACTTTAAACAAACAAATATTTGAAAAACAAAAACACTTAACAAATATTTTCTCCGCAATCTGATAACGTCGATCAGATTTCAAGAATATAAAAGAATAAAAGAAAAGTAAACCAGCAAAGACAATATTTACACGAAAAGAGCAGAGCGCACATTACATACACACCAAGAATACACGTGCACTGGGCATTGTGTGTGTGCGTCTGCGCGCAAATTCTACGCCAACGCGACAAATAAACTCGTACTTACATACATACGACTTTCCCAAACACCACTGTTGTTGGTGCATAGAAAAAAGTGACAGTTGACAGGTAGTCGTAGTTTTGCTTTTTGCGGTGGAGTGAGTGACAAGCGTCGCATACACAATGAAGACAAATCCAGCGTTGGATCATGTGTACGTCAACGACGGCTTCAAATGTTCTTCGATCAGCATAACAACGAATGGTACAGAGCAGAACGGTGGTAGTGGCGGATCACAAGGATCAAACGAATTTATATGTAAGTAAAGTGTTGGTGAAATGAAATCTGATTTGTTGTTGAAATTTGAGAATATTTTTACAATATTTTTTGTTTTTTTTTTCTTTTTTTTTGCAATTGAGTTTGGGTAAAAGTTGTTGGTGATCAAAGTGGTTAATCTGTGAAAATAGTGTAAGGATAAAAGAAGGATTCGAAATTAAAATAAATTGTGATAAATAACATAAGCAATTATTCCCTACGTTCGATTTATAAAGGTACTTAACCGTGTGAATGGTGTTACTCAGCTACAGCATTTCACGCATTACAGAAAATAAAATCCTATTCACAGAACTCTTTGATTTTAACCTGGCATGTACATTGCACAGTGGTGCGTTTGCAGGTAAAAATATATATTAAAAAAAAAATAATAGCTTTAAAGTGGTAAAATAAATTGAATTAAATTTTTTTTACTTGAACTTGATTGATATTCAGAATGAAAATTCGAGTTGGTTGGAAATTTGGCAGATTTGGATTATGTGTCTAATAAATTCTATCTGCATTGCGATCGCAGCTACGTATTCCTACGTTGCAATTCAGTAGGCGGATAATGGTTAACTTTTATATTTTCGTTTACGTCAATTGTATATTGTTTTGAAAAATTTAAGTAAAAATTGATTTTGAAAGTTTTATTAGATTTTGAACTTTAATTTTGCATTGCAATACAACACAAGAAAAAGATGAAAAATTGGCTATTGCAAAGGCAACCAAAGGGATATTTCCAAAGCTCCCGAACGAAGAAGGGAAGGACTTTTGAGAGAAGGTGCTACTGCTCTCAATGCACTGGATTTCTAATCAAAATACTCTATGACTTCAAGAAAATTATCTCAAAGCACTTGAATATTACGGTCAAAGTACTTGATCGAGTTACCTTCACTAAAGAATTTAGGTCATAATTATAAGCGTCCTTATTAAGTCTCCATTTTTTTCTTCAAAGTAAATAAGTAAATCAATTCCAATGAATTTTTCCTCTTTCAAACCAATTTTCGTACAATTCGTCGCTCTTCTGAAAAGTAGCAGAAATATCTCGCAAACTCACCCTTTCAACTTCAAAAACAGCTGATTTCGAAAAAGTTTTCTCTTCTAAATTAATTCAAAAGCTATGAGGAATATTATATATTTTTATTATAAAAGACATATTTCTCTGCTGAGTTGGTTATGTATAAAATTTGCCAATAAAAGATGGATGGAAACTCTTTCCTGCATATATAAAACTTTCGAAAGAATTATCATTTTCCTATTATTTATTTTATATAGAATTATTGTATTGCAATATTAACCCACATTCCGGAATCGTAGTTTCAATTTTCGTAGCTGCCACGAAAGTGCGTATTTTGAATCCAAATTAGTTAAGACGAAAATTTAAATATTATTCCAACAGCAGACTTCAAATTTACGTCATAGCTAAATCGAATTCAGTGTACGCACTCTCGTGACTGAAACCAAAATTTTTTGAAATTGAATATCCAACTAGAAAAGAAAAATTTTTGTAACAATAGGAAATTGTGGTTCGACAATTCTTGAAATGAAGAGAAAAAATTGCTAGAACGATCTATTTTACTGCAAATTTTTAGCCTCTTTGATCCAGCAGCAATTGAGGAATATTCTGTTTTTTTTTTTTCAGACATTTTCCTTTTTGTTTTAGACTTGTCCCAGCGTAATTTCTTCCCATTTTTTCGCAACCTAATTCCTTTTACAAACTGAGGATTTTACTCTATAAGAGAAACCATTCGTGTAAAAAATTGTTTGGTACTCACAATTTTTGACCTGCATAAAGTGAATACAAATATATATATTGTTTATTAAGTAACAAAAAAGTAGAAAATAATCACAAAAAGTTTAAATTTTTAATAATTTTACCACAATTCGATACAGCATTCAAGCAAAATTTTGTCCGATGAGAAAATAAATACACAACGAATATTTCAACAGAAACAAAATGCTGTCCTTAATGTTAAATCGTTAACAGATAATGTCAAATCGCTAACAGATAATGTTAAATCGTTAACAGATAAGGTTAAGTCGTTAACAGATAATGTTAAATCGCTAACAGATAATGTTAAATCGTTAACCGATAATGTTAAATCTTCAAATTGAAGTGTACTGTTAACATCATTTTAAAATTAACATTAACGATTAGTTTCTTGCGTGTTAATCTTCAACAGATTCCTTTCCTTTCGATAACATAGCGCCGAATCGAAACATGATAATTTTTTATTTTTCATGTTTTTTGCTAATAACTTTTCTTATTAAACTTATGTTATTAAAACCATTTATTATATAATTAGGAAATGAAGTTTAGTGGCTCCATTTGTATCAAATATCTAAAAAAAGAATAATGAAAAATAGGTAAAATATTATAAAGTGAAATTAGTGATTTTGTTTTCTTTACCGGCTTTTAATAACATTCATTCAAACATATTTTAAACCTATTTGTGTATTGAAATTTTTATTATTTATTCCGGAATTGCAACACAATAAACAAGTATTTTTCTCCTTTATTTCTGTGGCCGTTAAAAATTATAATTCTACGAAAATAAATATTAATTATTGTAATACGAATGCCCAGAAAATGTTTAGCTGTTTTAACCACAAATTGCAACCGAAATACCTAAACTTAGAAATATATAAATTTATATATGTATGTATGTATGTATGTATGTATGTATGTATGTATGTATGTATGTATGTATGTATGTATGTATGTATGTATATATAAATATGTCATTCACCTCAACATATTACTTAAAGCCATCAATTTGTACTTATATAAAAATATGAAATTGACACACATGCACGAGTATGTCTACTCGAAATCACAGACGAGCGCCGTCTACGAGTACCTACCTGCCTGTTCAACGATCACTTACGTTCGTGAAGTGGCAAAGTTGAATAAATATTGATTTTAAAAATTTCGATTGTTGCTTATTTCGAATTCAGTCGCCATACAATATGACACTTAACATTCGCACGCATGTGCAGACAGATAGAAATACATACATATATAATATATATTAATTTTTTTTATTTATGTCTAAGTATTTAAGTCAACATATACATATGTATGTCCAATACACAATTGTATAGCACGCGAATTTGTGTGTCAAAATTGCAAATATTTTAACTGCTTTCCCTAGACAAACACGCGCACAAAAATAGTTTAACATTTACACATTAGGGGTGTAAGGTTTTTTGGTGCTTTAGATTTAAATAACAAATTTGTAAGAAATTTATATTTTTTTACTTTTTTTTGTGCAACGAAAATATTCCAGTAAAAATGCGAACGCTTTGGTGATCAAAACTTCGTTACGTTTTTTTTATGCATAATTTTGAAAAAATTTCAATCCTATTATTCATGCATATGTATGTACAAGTGCTTTAAATACTTGTATACTTCATCTGTACATGTTTTTTTCTAAATATATGCATATACTTGTTGCATTGTAAATTTAGTAAGAATTCAAAAAAAAAATTAAAATAAAAAAAAATAGTTTCAATAGTCTGAATATTTTCATTCCTCTTTCTACATTTTTCTTTCCTTTTTGTTTTATAATTTAATTCAATTTCAATTCGCACGCCAACACTACGTAACAATCCTACATACATATGTACGAGTAGGTATGTAAATATTTATTGCAAATGCGGCCAGCGGACAATTCGCTACGCTATTGAACTTGTCTCCTCCACTGACCCAACAACGAAATTTATTTGTACTGGATATTAGCGTGCAATTGTCATTGAGTGGCGTTAAATCGAACAGTAAATTTACAAAAGCAAATATTTGAAAATAGTAAATAGTGCCATTGATGTATTTATTAGGCTGGTGGTTTGTATGTATGTAAGCATTTTTATTTTTTCCATACATTTGTAATAATACAGTAATTCGAACTACAAACTTGTATTTGTAAATATACATACAGACATATGTATATAGTTTTTTTTATCACGGCTGATCTGCATTTCGATTACGATCCCTCCCTTCGCTTCGCCGCATAGTTGGGTTGTCTAAGTGATCGACTCGAAAAAAGAAGAGGAAGAGCGAAGACATTTTCGAAATTAGCTGCTTTGAATGTGTAAAATTGAAACATAACAAAGCATAAAAATAAAAAAATATTAAAACAAAACTTATTTTTAACGTAAAATAGCATAAATAGTGGCGTTATTTCATGAGTAGGAGACGGTCAGAAAGGTGGACAGACGGACTTGGTTAAATTAATTCATTTCGTTATTCATATTAGTATACATTTTGGTGGCTCTACCTGTTGTTGTTGTTGTAGCGGTTATCGAACACCGCCTACTCTATGTCATCAAGATCATATAACGGCATGTCCACAAAATGAGCTGTTTCGACGAGTTCGGACCAGAGCGGAAGAGGAATTAGGTGAGTGGGCTTTAAGTGGTTTGCCAAGAGGTGACTGGTATCGCATGGAAACTTATTGCATGCAGCGCATACGTAGGATATGTGGAGGTGAAATCTGCCGAAGTAGACAGTAAGTCGACAACAATATTCAGATCCTAACAGTGACAGTATCACTCAGCTCGCTCGCGGCAGCTCGCGCTGTATTGTCGTGCTGTCCAGCGGCTCTTATGCGTGTTACTGAACTAGGTCCTTGTATTCGAGTACTATCTTCTTGATGTATATAGGTGTTGGATTGGCTTCCAATAAGTTTCTGTTGGGGTGGAATTACAACAGATATTGTTATCAAAGCATTGCATTATGCACCTACGCTTACGCTTAGCACAGATGCTTTGTTGTGCAATGGATGCTCCGGCGCCATCAGAAGATTTCCGTTCACGGTACTAAGGGCGGTGTTCTATCAATCTTGTTGCTTCTTCATCTGTGTTTATCTAATCCCCGGCATCCCAATAGGAGCAGGGCCCAGTTGCTGCCGGCTAAGGCTTTGAAGATTTTATTCCGGCCCTGTACTTTTGTGGCAATTGCAATTGTATGCGATGTGAAGGAGTGCAGTTGTATTAGAAATTAACGTGTTTTGAGTCGAATTCGTGTTATTTATTTAAAAACTTGATATATGTATATACCATATATACATATATGTTTTTATATATTTCCGAATTTTGTTTTCTTGAATAACGCATTATCTTCGAACTCGTGTAAACCCCCAGAAACTTGTTTGTGGAAAGTAAAAATTTATTTCAAAAATATATTAAACGCCTTCATACGTAAATACACGTACGTCTACAAGAGTTTTTCAATGTAACTATGATAAATATTTTTAGTAAAAATTATTTTTAAAAACTACTAATACCGCCAAATTTGCATTATTTTTTTTTTATAAAATAAAACAAGTATATAAATCGCTTAAGTGATTGTAAAAGGCGATTTTTTAGCTATTATCCTTTTGGCAACACTGGCTTAAACAGCTGACACACGTTTCGTGTTTTGTGTCACTGTCAAGCATCTTCAGTTTGGTCTATAATTTAACCATAAATCGTCTTACAAACGAAAAATGCTTGCGAATTATTGAATTTTATTATCAAAATGCGTGCTCTGTTAAGAAAGTTCAACGGGCGCTTCTTCTGCGCGCGCTTCAAAGCTCATTTTTGACTTAATGGGTGCGTTAATAAACAGAATTGTCAATTTTGGAGTGAAGATCAGCTAGAAGCATTGCAAGAGCTACCAATGCATCCTTTAAAAGTCACAGTTTGGTGCGGTTTATGGGCTGGTGGTTCGGTGAACATTTTATTTTACGTTCGGCCGCCTAGATCGTGCGATTTAACGCATTTAGAATAGTTTTTGTGGGGCTATGTTAAATCTAATGTCTATACGGACAAGTCCGCTTTAATTGACGCATTTTAGGACAAGATTGAAGCATTTATTCGTGGGATGGCGGCCGGAATGTTGGAAAGAGTATGCCAAAATTGGACTAAGCTAATGGACCAGTCACAGTCATCATTTGCATGAAATAATCTTCAAACATTAAATTATATGGGCCGTACTATCGATTCAATTAAAGATTTCATGCATTTTTCTGAACTCTGTGTTTTTTTAAAGCTCTCCTATAGCTCTTTAAAAATCACCCTTTATAACACCAACAAAACTCGTTACTATTTTCTTCTTATTTTTTCTATCTCATAAGAAAACTGGTAAAAGCGTGTGCGTGATCCTCGTTCCGTCATAATGTATGGATTATGATGATTTATTAATCTCAGTTTATATGATACGGCGTGCCTATTTATTTTCTCTGAAACATTAAGATCATGAGATCACTGTGGAGTTGATCATTTGAAATGTAGTATGAGTTTTCGATTGAAATCTTTGAGCTACATTATGTTATTTATACCTCACAGCTATATGCCATAGGTCCAAATTAGTTTTATGACAGTTATAAAGTATAGTATATATGTAATTTATTTTGGGTAGATAATTTTGGTGAAAGTGTTAATCGAACAGTGTTAGTTTCATTAGCCTCAATGGTGGTTCTTTCCACAACAGGCAAGTCTTATGTATAAAGAAGACATAGCAAAGTAAACTTTACCATACCCTTTTATGGGGTTCATGTAATACTGATTCCGACAGAACTGCCTCTTTTGATTTTATTTTCTGCATCAAAACCAACCTACTGAGAACTTTAAATAAATAAGTAATTTCCTTCTTCTCCTTCCATATAATTTATAGCAGCTAATGGTAAATCTGTCTAAGAGACAAGTGTAACTGCGAGTTTCCGCGATCGGTCTCGGGAGTTCAGGACAGTCCACTGTCTCCGTTTTTGATTTTCAGTCACCGGTCGTCGTCAAAAAAGGTGGGGGTAATTTGTTCAACACCTTCCCTTTGGGTACTGCACTCATTTAATTCTATTATTTTTGCTCGCTCACAGAATTTTCCCACATGAACCTTATTAATTTGACAATATTTACAATAATAATAGGAAATGCTCAATTATTATTTACTATGCATAAATACATACATACACGTACATACATATAAAATATAAAAAATTATAATTTGTCTGGTGAATGGAAAATCATTCAATCGTAATCAAAAATAAAATATAACATAAACTGCTATTTATTAGAAAACACCTACATACATATACATACGCATATTTAGGTATGTATTTAGTGAGTAGCACAAAACACCCATACAATTACAGTGTGGGAAAATTGTCAACCAACACCATAGTAAAAAAGCAATTTAAATGATCATAATGACAATTACGTTGAACAGCTATTTGTTTTAACTATGTACACATGTATATATGTATGTGGCATGTACACAACGTGCACCTTGACAATGAAAATTGTGGAGATCGGCAAAAAAAAGGTTATTGTTTACAAAAAAAGTTCGAATATTTCACTTGAAAAGTACGTGATAATGACTCATGAGCTCACGAGCGTCGATTTTCTTTTCAGCAAGCACTTTTCCACTGCACTGCACATCAGTTATTTTCGCTTATAAATACATACATATTTATGGATATTTGTGTTCTTGCTTTTGTAAACCCGTGTTTATTTATTACAAACAAAAAAGCTTGACACGCTAATTTGAGGTTAATTTATTTGATTTCCGAAAAAAAAAACGTTTGATTCAGTAATCCATTTCCTTTTTATTTGCTTGCCAAATTATAACACATTCCAAACTATTTACTCATCATCATAGATATGAGTGGGTCTTTTGATTTCAACTTTAAACTGAGCGACTTTTGTGCAGAGCTTTTATGTGGAGCTTTTAATTCTTTTTAGAAACACAATCGGAGAGCATTAAATTCCCTACGCGGGAGGCCCGCCATTAAAAAAAAATATTCTTTAAATTAATTTTAGTTTTTTAAAGAAATTTTTTTTCCAACATTCTAAGGCAATCTTCCATTTCAAATAAAATTTCATTGTTTTTTTTTTTGTCTTTTGTTTTCATTTACAGTAACCAAAGACGGCAAGAAAATGATTCCACCTGTAAAAACATTGGATTGCGCCAAAGCGTGGGTCCAAGATCGCACGAGACGTACTTTTAATCGCAAGACACTCCACAAACGCCTGCCTATATTTAGTTGGTTACCTAAATATTCCAAGGAAGATGCAGTTGGTGATGTGGTCGCTGGTCTCACAGTGGGTTTAACTGTAATACCTCAGGCGTTGGCGTATGCCGGTGTTGCCGGTCTGCCTGCAGCAGTAAGTTGAAATTTTATCCTAATGCATATATATATACATATTGATAAAACTTTGACCTGAGTGACTGCCGGATCGACCCAGAATCACTGATCGTAGAGACCTGTAAGTTGAAGGATATGAGGGATGATGAGGGCTACCGAGAAGAAAAGATCTAGACCTGAGACTAATCTATTCGAAAAAAAAATTATTAAGTCATTCGGCTTGTTTTGCTCTTATTTTTCGTGACTGTTTGAACTGAAAGCTTCATAATTTTAATTCGATTTTCAATTGATTTCAAATATTTTTTTGTTATAAATAATTTTTGTTATTATTTTTTTGTTACAATATTTTTGTTTTAATTTCTTTTGGTATAACATATTTTTTCATATTTTGTTTGCTATAAAATATTTTTTTTTTGTTTTTATTTGTTATAAAATTTTAGTTTTAATATATTTCAGTTATAAAATATTTCTTTTATATTTTTTGGGTTTGATATCAAATATTCTTTTTTAATATTTCTTTTTGGTATAAAATTTTTTTTTAATTTTCTTTTTGCCATAACATTTTTTTAATATTTTTTTGTTATAAAATATTTTTTTATTTTTTTACAATATTTTTTTTTTAATATTTTTTGGTATAACATATTTTTTCATATTTTTTTTGCTATAAAATATTTTTTTTTATTTGTTATAAAATTTTATTATTAATATATTTCCTATTATAAAATATATTTTTTTTCATTTGTTTGGTTTGGTATCAAATATTTTTTCTAATGTTTCCATTTGGTATACAATTTTTTTTTAAATTTTTTTTGCTATGATTTTTTTTTTAATTTTTTTTTTTTTGTTATAAAATATTTTATATATATATATATATTTTTTTTTTTTTTGTTATAACATTTTTTTTATATTAAAACGTTTTTCCTTCTTTTCTTGCAGTACGGCTTATATGGTTCCTTCTTAGGTTGCTTTATTTACATTTTCCTCGGCAACTGTAAGGATGTACCAGTCGGCCCCTCGGCCATAGTAGCGCTACTAACCTTCCAAACAGCCAAAGGCTCATGGCAATTAGCGGTGTTGCTTACGCTACTTTGTGGCATTGTTGAATTGTTTATGGGCATTTTCGGTTTGGGTTTCCTATTGGATTTCGTCTCCGGCCCCGTCTCATCGGGTTTTACATCAGCTGTATCGTTGATTATTGTTGCTTCACAAGTGAAAGACATATTGGGTATACCGGCGCCCGGCACTACGTTTCTGGAAATTTTAACACATATTTATGAGAATGTTAAAGAGACGCGTGCCTCCGATACAGTCTTGGGTGTCACTTGCATTGTAGTGCTGTTAATGATGAGGGTAAGTTAAAAAGATGAGAAAAAAATATATATTTTTTTTAATAACTTTCAATATTTGCATTTGCTCCAACAGCTACTTTCATCATTCAAACTCGGCCCCAAGGAACCTACCCAACGCACAAAGACCCAAAATGTGCTCAACAAAATTATTTGGCTCGTCGGCACCTCACGTAATGCCATTCTGGTTGTGGTCTGCGGCGTCTTGGCTTACATATTGAATACCGAAAGTGGCAGTATACCGTTCCGTGTTATCGGTTATATTCCCGCAGGCATGCCCGCTGTACAACCACCGCCATTTCGCATGACTGCCAATGAAACACTCTCGGGTCGCGACGAAGGCTTTATTGATATGGTGAAAAATTTGGGTTCCGGTTTAATTGTATTGCCACTTATATCGTTGATGGAGACTGTATCGATTGCTAAAGCTTTTGGTAAGTACTGCAAAAAATATAATAATATAAATGAAACTTTTTTTAATGAAATATTGCAATTTACATTCCAACAGGCAATGGCAAACCAGTGGACGCCTCGCAAGAACTTATCGCAATTGGTGTTGCAAATATTGCCAATGCTTTCGTGCAAAGTTTCCCATCCACCGGCGCACTCAGTCGTGGTGCGGTCAATAATGCCAGTGGCGTGCGCACTCCCCTCAGCAATATCTATTCAAGCAGTTTGGTTATACTTGCATTGATCTTCTTTACACCATATTTCTTCTTTATACCGAAATCAACCTTGGCGGCGATCATTATTGCGGCCGTTATGTTTATGGTGGAAGTGCGAGTTATTAAGCCAATGTGGCGAGCGAAAAGTAAGTTTTGAACTTGCACAAATGATTTAAGCGCATGCTTTATTACCACTTTCTCTCTCTCTCTCTCGCTCCCATTTAGAAAGTGATCTTGTACCCGGTTTAGGCACATTCATCGCCTGCTTAGTTTTACCACTGGAAATCGGCATACTAATCGGTGTTGGCTTGAATGTCATCTTTATTCTGTACCATGCTGCACGTCCCAAGATCACAACAGAAATACTAACCACATCAGCGGGTAATGAGTACCTTATGATTACACCAGATCGTTGCTTGATGTTCCCCTCGGTGGATTATGTGCGGAATTTGGTGACGAAACAGTCGCTGCGTCAAAATGTGCCCGTCGTTATTGATGCGTCTCACATTTATGGTGCCGATTTTACTGCAGCGACCGTTATAGAATCGCTGCTTGGTGATTTTACAGCGCGCTCACAGCTCTTGTTCTTCTACAATTTAAAACCCAGTATTTGTGCGTTATTCGAAACGTTATCAACGGATTTTGTTGTCTATTATCAAGAGGAGCAGTTGGACCAATTGCTGAAAGATCGTAATTATGAGCAAAAGAAAACGATAACGGTGTAGGAAATGTGCGCAATGGGTAATAATGGTGTAAACCGTTATGCTCGTGCTAATGGCTAAAATGTGATTGTGTTGGTTCTTTGAGATCGACACGAAAAAAATGGTTGGTTAACTGTTAACTATGCTTGCTTGTTTTAGATTTTACAAATCCTATGCATATATGTACATATGTACGTATGTATGTATGTACATATGTATTTTTTAATTTGTTTATTATTTGTATGAATTGCGACATTGCTAAACAGATACGTCCCTAATGTTTAATATATTTTTCGCACCAAGCACTTACATGTATACACACATACATACATACATACATACTGGTACGTTCACTCAAGTAAAGTATGTATCGTATTAATACATACCTACGTATTTATTAACTATTTTGTAATAATGTTGAAAACACTACACAATGGAGTATTATATTAGTATTGAGAGCCAAAAAGAGATAACTAAGTTCTTTTTACAATTTTACATAACGAATTATGTATTTGTATCTACTTTAAAATCAAAGTGCGCTTAGTCCAGCCCTAATACATATAAATTAGAATACTGTAAATATCGTATTTATCTTTAGCATTAAGATACGAATTTATTCAAATCAAATGTGAAATACAAATACAAGAAGAAACATAGAAAGGCTAAGCACGTTATGTATGTAAATATATCATATATTATTTTACGACAGAACGAATTTTTGAAAGGTTTTTACCCTTAACTGTTGTGTTATTAAATAATTATTTATTTGTATCATTAAAAGTGGAAATATTTATGTATGTATCTCAAACTCTTTGCATTCCGCATTGCGATCGTACAAGTAATTTCACTAAAACAAAAAATATATTTAAATATGAAAGTCATAAAATGCTAGTGAGTCTTAAACCAACTGTTTCAAATTATTTTTAATTATTTTAAGTAAAGATTTGTTAATGTTTAAGTATATAGTATTAGTTACTGCTTAATTATTTATTACGTTTTAGTGCAATAAAGAGAGAAGTTCAAGTCCTAAATTTTTTTTCTGTTGTTTTTGTTGTTGTTTTTTGTAGTTGCTCAACCTTGCTTCAGAAAACCCTATGTATACTATAGGGTTATCCATTTCGCCGTTTCAAAAGTACAGACCAGTTTTTTGACAGCTGTCATATTTAACTGTCAAGCCAAACAGGCTTCGTTTTAATTGAAAGTCGGGCATTTATGAAAATAAATCGCTTAGCAGCCGCACGCACACACATACATTAAAATCTTTTATAAAAAAGAGGTGATTGAAACATTGCCAGGTTTCGTTCTTTGAGAGGAGGCTATTGTGCACATGACCGTCCAACTACTCAAGCAGTTCGTAAAATTTAAATGAAATTTGAAGAGACTATATCGGTTACTGATATTGTAAGTCCTGTGCATCATCGTGTAGCCGAAGACCATAATGTATATATTTCTCGACGTTTTTCAGAGCTTGGACCTTCTTACGGCTTGCACTTAGGCTTACACCTATGTACACCCAAATCAGTTCACAAAAACGATATTCTCACTCGGGTGATACGCAAATAAGCAAAGATCTATTCTTACTGTGCGCTCTTTGGTCCGAAACTGACATTGAACACTACGCCTTTGAAAAAGACAAGGGCGAAGCTGTTGCTGCCAATTCTGAGCGGACTTTTTTTTGTCCTGCATTTGAAAAAAACGACTTCAACAATATGTGGTATCGACAAGATATTGTCACATACCACACAAGACGATCAAATATGGTTATGTTTGCGAGAAAAATTTTCCTACCGCGTAGTCTGCTAATTGGCCACCGAGATCGTGCGATTTGCCACCGTTCGAACTTTATTTATGTGAATAAACCTTTAACTCTTAAGCACTTGAAAACTAAAATTCGTCAAGTTATGGCGGAGTTACCGCCAAATATGTGCCAAAAATTGTTCGAAAAATGCCTCAAACTTATCTTAAATACGTTTTATTTCCATAACTGCAAATGAATTGCGTCGTAATTTCGATGTTTTGATACACCCACATACATACATTTCCAATGTGCAATGCACAAATTTTAAAAGAAATTAAAAAAAATTGTAACAATTCTCTTTCTCTAAATAATATTTTAAAATTTTTTTTTGCTATGTTGTTGCTGTAGCCGCAAAATATTCCTCGAATTGATTTTCGGGGAATATTGGGGGAGTGATGATAGTCCTTGGCCGAATAAAAGTCCGGGTCGTTCCGGTATAAATACTCAGCTGTTACGGGAACTATTGGATTTTAGTCGCCTCTTACGACAGGTATGCCTTACCAGAGAATCTATAATAGTTGTTGTAGGTTCTCTGCTCAGGTGAATAGTCCATGAATAACGTGAATTGTTGTGAATTTTGTTTAATATACAACGAATTTAATCGAATTCGTAAAATTTCAACATATATTATTCATTTATCTTAAAAAAAAAAGTTTGTCAAATAAAAAACTGACTATTTTATAGGGCTTTGGCAGCTCTATAATGAATTTTCATACGTAGTGTACATAAACAATCATGTGCACGTGTGTCAAAACAATTACCTATTCCATTTCTTCCGTGCCAGCAGTTTTATAGATTAAATTGATATTTCTTTAACTTCTACCATTAATTACAATGAAGCGATTAAGTGACGAACGTGCAAAAATTCTGTTCGAAAAGTTATCGAAATAGTAAGTGAGAGATATATATTTTAATAATGCGATTAATGGACTAAATTATTATTTACTTACTTTTCAGCATTGGCACTAATGTAAAACAACTGATTGACCGCCCCGATGGCACTTATTGCTTTCGTGAGCACAGGGATCGCGTTTACTACGTATCGGAACGTATACTCAAATTGTCTGAATGTTTTGGACCAGAAAAATTAGTTTGTGTTGGCACTTGTTTTGGCAAATTCTCGAAGACGAACAAACTGAAGTTCCACATTACCGCACTTTACTATTTGGCACCTTACGCACAGTATAAAGTTTGGGTAAAACCATCATTTGAACAACAGTACCTGTACGGTAATCATATAGCCAAATCGGGCTTAGGCCGTATCACAGAAAATGCTGGTCAATATCAAGGTGTTGTGGTGTACTCTATGAATGACTTACCATTAGGATTCGGTGTGTTAGCGCGTTCTACAACAGAATGTAAGACTGCAGATCCCATGACAACTGTTTGTTTCCATCAGTCCGATATTGGTGAATATATAAGATCGGAAGAAACGCTTTTCTAGTTTTAGATATCTATAACGGTTAGGTTTGTGTAATATATCCGAAAAAGTTGGGGCGAAAATAAAATTATTTTTTTAATAATATATACTGCGTTGTTTTCTCAATTATTTAAATAAATAGCTTTTACTTTCCTGTAAAATTAATTTATTTTTCTATATAATAAGATTAAGATGTAAAACGCAACAACCTTTTAAATAAATTGATTTCAGCTTTTTCAAGTTCAGCAATAAAAAAATTTATAAAATTCCTGAGGGAATACAAATTTTGTTAGCCTATGTAAATTTAGGGAAAAATGCTTAGAGAAACAACACTGAAATGCATTGTTGTTGTGCAATGTTACTAAACAGCTGATAATCAGCTGTAACCTACCGCCTGGTCTTTTCTCCCGGTTTTCATTATCCAGTGGTCAAGTATTCCAAAAAACATGAACTACATTAGGAATGGTCGGAGGATACTACTCGCCGGCATATTACCGGGTGTACCGGGAGATCCAACTGGAAATGATGCGCTTTCTAAAGATACAAAAACATACAAGGCTTACCTGCAAAACAAACCGGACTTGAATGAAACTGGATGGGATCGACTCAAAGATATGTTTAAAATTGAGTACGATTAATAATAAACAAAAAAATTGAAAAATTGTCATTCAATACCTTCATTCCAGTGAATTTGGTAGTATTTCTTCAGAACTGAATTCGATTTATCAGGCTGGATTTTTGGGCTTTCTATTTGGTGCTATTTACGGTGGTGTTATACAATCCAGAAATGCGTATTTGAATTTCATGGAAAGTAATCAAGCTACAGCATTCAAATCACATTTAGATGCTAAGGTGAGTTAAAATTGTCAATTGATTAAATCATGATTATTATTCTATAAATACCTCTAAATACTTGAAAATTTTTAGCGTAAATTGCAAGATGCCGTAACCGTAAGTTTCGCGAAAGGAGGATTTAAGTGGGGCTGGCGTATTGGGCTATTTACAACCTCATATTAGTTAGTATTTATATTTATTTTCAAGTTTTACTGAATTTTTTATATATCTTCTTTCAGTGGAATAATTACCTGCGTTTCAGTTTATCGGGGAAAATCGTCAATTTATGAATACGTTGGAGCAGGTTTAATTACTGGTAGTTTATATAAAATGAGTTTAGGCTTAAGAGGCATGGCCGCAGGAGGTATTATTGGTGGTGTGCTGGGAAGCGTAGCTGGTGTGGCATCTTTAGCGCTTCTTTATGCGTCCGGTACATCCATGGAAGAGATTCGCTATTGGCAATACAAATGGCGTATTGATCGTGATAACATGATTCACCAAGCTATGAAGGTAAGTGATGGTGCAAGAATTGAGACATTTTTAATTGTTTTTTTTTTTTTTTTTTAATAGAAACAAGAGGACGATGCATACAACACTCCTGAAATTTTCAAAGATCACGATCAGAAAGTGGGTGAAAATGTAACACTGGATCCCATCAAATAAAAAATAATAAATTTGAATTAAGTTTTTTCCGTTCTTGTTGTTAAATAGTAAAAATTTAAATATCTTTATACTTGTTAAAGGTATATTTAATTAAAAATACATTTCTTTTGTATATTGCAATTGCTAGACGTTTAAATACAGCTACATACATATGTATATTGAAGACAAAATGTAGTCTTATTCTTTAAACAAGTTCAAATATCAATCAACTTTCATTTTTTTTTTTTTGATTTTCTTTTAATTGAAGTGCTTTTAATGCATTAAATTGTCAATAACATGAATAGTATAAGTATTTTATGAAACAACACTCGAAATTGCGAAAGGCTAAAAATGGTTTATGGATATTAACCATTAGAAAGCAATAATGCAGGAAATGCATGAATTATATTGGTGCGTATGTACTAGTATGCGTTATAATTTCAATTCTACACGAATAGATATGCAAACATACTTAAACATGACATTCAACTCTATATTTTTACGTTTAGTTACTATATGAGCGCTTGTCTACCAAGTTTTGTCTCCTATTAAAATGCGAGTTAATCATGAGATGGAAGAATTGTGAAAGCATTAATCATATTGCTGCGAGGTGGAGTGGCAGCTCCAAAATTATCGTTGCTATAGCACTTAAGATTGCTCTTGTGGGCGTGTCAAGCGTTTTGCGCCGCGATTCGGTGGGCCTTTAGGCTTGGCAAATGCTGGTCTGCTGGCAAGTTTTCTGGGGTGTAGTTCTTCGTTTAGAAATTCCTCTGTCAATTCGGAACCACTGTCGATTTCCAACTAAATTAAGGGCCGAAAATATTGATTATAAGGAATATATACAAATATTACAGTAGATGCCATTGTATTTTTACCTTTTTTGCAATATTTACTCCTAGTGCATGTAAATTATCCAAAAATGGTGCTTTACAACTAGAGTACATCATACGTTCACGCACCGAACAAGTATACCCGGGCATGGAATATATGAAAACATATGCTTCCTGGTATTCACCTTCATGGGTATGCTTAAACAGATATAGATGGTATCGTGCATGTTCGGTGGGTATTTGACGTGGCAAGTTAGGCAATGACACTACTGCTGCGTTCGAAACATGTATCCGCTCCTCTTCGAGATCAATTCTAAATTGTAGATAATCATATGAGCCACGTAGCAAATCTTTAATTGCTGCAACCGTAGCATCGGACATTGGGCACGCCACTCCGCCTAAGGTTTGGTGTCGCGTATCCGTATTAATATCGGTGTTAATTTCTGTTTTACGCAATTCTACGAGCTCTTCTTCTCGCGTAGTTAAGGGGGCTGGTGCGGCAAAGTCTTGTTTGTGTCGCACATAACCATCAAACGTGGTCTCTTCCAGCGTTGTTGCGTGTATCTCCTCAGTGATATGTGCAGAACCGAATTCGGTTTTCAGTGTAGCCTTCGTGGAAGCATAAACCATCTTTTGACGTATTGAAGCCGTATCTGGAACCCAGCTCAACAATAGCCAGGCATAACCCAGTGATGTTTTACTATCTAGTCTGTAGAGGATATAACAGGGTACATTTTCTTCTATAAGAGGCCCTATCAGTTTATCATAATCACGCTCCCAATCTTTTTTTACTTCAGCCGTAGCAGTGCAATTGAGCTCCTCTAAAATATAATTTTTATTAATACACACCCTTTTCGTTCTCAAGAAAAATACTGACCATTTTCTATTGACACCTTTATCACACGTAGCTTTCCATTTTTACTTTTACCAAAAACTTTTGTGAGCTTATCATTTGCTGAAAATTTACTACTTATTTAGAGCAATATTAACAAACTTTCATGATATTTCAAAAATATACCTTTTATCCCAGTTTGATGAGACATTTTTATAATTTTTATAATTTTTCTATATTTGGGTTTATTTTAATTTTCGGTAAATACCTGGAGATAAAAAATTACTCACTCCAATACAACAACAAAAATGTTTACTGAATTCAGTGTTGCAACTTTCCAGTCTGATTGGAATGTACCAGCTCCCCTTTGCTAATGTCTTATTCATAATTCTACATCTAAAATTTTAAACAAAAGGACGATGGAATTATATTTATATTTAAATAATTTTCTTAATGCAATGTTTACGAAGTATTACGATTTATTTGTTTCTAAATTAATACACAAATTTTTATCTACTGTCGAGTTAGGCAGCACATTCGAACAGCTGGCAAAATATTTAAATCGCTGTGGCAACGGTAAATACTATGTCATGTTTTTGTTGCTGTTAAGCTGTCATGGCGTAATTTTCGTTCTGCTTAGAAAAACTGATGGAAGTGTTATTTTCCCTGGCCAATTGAAAAAATAACAGATAAAAAACATAAATAAAGAGTGCTTGAATTGAGATCTTGTATATTGACTGCTATTTGAACAAAAGTTCAGATAGTATAAAATGAGTGAATTCTTTAAATCTGCAATGGGCTATTTCAATACAGCCCCAAATGCGAACATTGAAGATCCAGCCAGTAGCACTTCTGGCAATGGTGCTCCAATAGGAATTAATACGACAAACGAGTTTTGTGGTCAAGTTGTTGAAGTAGCAGGATATAAGCTCCGTGTGAAGCGAGTTATAGCTGAGGGTAAGCAAGGGTCTAAAACTCCCCTTAATTTTGAGTTTGATATCAAATGTTGGTTCATTTCTGCCACCTACATTAAATCTTTGATAATTCTGCATGAAAAAATCAATAATGCAAAATCTTATAACAGATGGAAAACAACTTTTATTTCGCTAATCACAAAGTAGAATTTCATTCATGGAAATTTTATTGTTTTGTTTTAAATGAAGACAAAGCAACAACCTTGAACCTCAGTTATGTTGAATATCCAAATTAAAAGTAAAGAAAGTACTGTTGATTTATTGTTACGTTTTTTATTTATAACTGATAGACTAGAAATATTTATGTTTAAAAATTATGTACAATATTTCCTTTCCGAGTTGTTTTCATGAGTGTATGTACAAATAACTGCTCTTATCAAAAGTTACCCTACATATAAAAACATTTTAAAAATATACATACTTATAGTGTATCATTGAGTTATCATTTTATATTTACATGTAGGCGGTTTCGCCTTTGTATATGTGGCGCAAGATGTGCAAACTGGTAAAGAATACGCCCTCAAGCGTCTCATAGGGACGGACAAACAAGCTTGCAACGCAATTATTAATGAAATAAACACACACAAGCAGCTATCTGGTCACCCGAATATTGTTACATTTGTTGGAGCAGCTTTTATTGATAAAACAACAGGACCTCAACAGCGTGCTGAATATTTGCTATTAACGGAACTTTGCAATGGTAATAAACTACTAGCCATATAAACTGCGTTGGATTTTTCTTATATTTTTTTGAAAACTATTTAGGTGGTTCCCTCATAGACTGTTTGAACGGATCATTCGATCCATCGCTAGTTCTACGTGTAATTTACCAAGCATCTCGTGCTATAGCTCATATGCACACACAAATACCACCTATAACTCATCGCGATATTAAGGTGATAACAAATACCGATCTCTTCTTCAGCTTGTTGAGAGATATGTGTATGTGCATAAAAATTGGCATTAATCATTTCAATATCATTTGTCGTTTGTAGATTGAAAACTTTCTTATCGGAAATGATAAACAGCTAAAGCTTTGCGATTTTGGTTCCGCTACTAAAGAGTCATATGCCCCAACAATCGATTGGGGAGCAAAGCAACGTAATCTTCTTGAAGATCAGGTAAATGCGCTATTTATTTCGTACCAATAACATTTGCTTATATTATTGCATTAAACAATTTACTTTAGTTGAGCTCTGTTACAACGCCAATGTATCGTGCGCCAGAAATGTTAGATACTTGGTCTAATTATGAAATTGGTGTGAAAGTTGATATCTGGGCTTTGGGCTGTATATTGTATGCTTTATGTTTTCAAAAGCATCCTTTCGAAGATTCAGCCAAGTTGAGGATTGTCAATGGAAATTATATGTTACCCACAGATTCTAGATTCCAGTGCTTTCATGAAATAATCAAAGGTAATAAATTTTCGTTACTTTGAAATTTCCCTAACTAAAATCAGAATTTCTCTTTATATCTCTCATTAGGTTGCCTTAATGTGAATCCTGCTCATCGCTTAAATATATCGATGGTGCTAGAACGTTTGGCTGCTATTTCTGAAACAAAAAATTGGTCGCTTAAAGGTGCTCTTGAGTTATATGGTAAGCCCATAGAATCTCCACAATCAAAAAGTCCAATAAATGGAGCAAATACAGCAAACAACAGTGGTACGAGTATCGCACCGCAGCCGCATTTACCACAAGTATCAAATGTTGTGGAGGGTAGTGGTAAATCTACGTTTTATATGGATGATCCTACTGAGCCTCGACCACGACCAGAAACAAATGTTCAGTCACAACAGCAACAAAATATTAATCCAGCAAATATACAAGCTGGTGGAAATACCGGCACTTCGAATAGTAGCTTATTTTCATCATTGCGTGGTGGAGCTGGCAGTTTTCTGAAAAATTTGAAGGATACCTCTTCAAAAGTAATGCAAACAATGCAGCAAACAATAGCTCGTACAGATTTAGATATCAGCTACATAACTTCACGTGTGCTGGTAATGCCTTGTCCATCAGAAGGTTTTGAGTCAGCTTATAAAACTAATAATATTGAAGACGTGCGTTTATCTATTGAAAGTCGGTTTCCACCGCAAAAGATCAGCATATATAATTTTGGACATAGTAATTGTCCAAGATTGTCTCCTCCAGTGCGCACTGTCGAGGTTGGTTCAATTTATGCTTGCCCGCAAGCACATTCGCCCAATCTGCAAGGCATATTTTCTGTTGTCGAAGATATGTATGGTTTCCTAACAGCTGATCCCAAATCCGTTGTTATTATACAAACGAGTGATGCTGGCGGTTGTTCCGCGGCTACAATAGCTGCAGCACTTCTCATGTATGCGAACTTAATTCATGAACCCGAGGATGCAGTGCAGGTGTTTGCAGTAAAACGCCATCCAATCAATTTGAGACCATCTGAGTTCCGCTATTTATATTATTTCGGTGACATTTTGCGTCAGCCGCCGTTATTGCCGCACTACAAAAGTATCAATTTGGTTTCGTTAAGCTGCCAGCCGGTGCCGCGTATGACTAAAGCACGCGACGGGTGCCGTATTTATATGGAGGTTTATTGCAATGATCGACTGTTGCTAAGTACTTTACAAGATTATGAAAAGATGCGGTGAGCTTATTAAATATATTCACAAAATGTTATTCACTACAGAGATGATTACTATGTTTCTGTGTCATTTTTTAGACTTTATTTATCTGGACCCGGCAAAATCACACTGCCCATTAATCTTACTGTTTGCGGCGATTTGATAATAGTTCTTTATCATGCACGCAACGCACTCAAGGGTATGGTACGTCCACAAAGTTTGAAGATATGTCAATTTCAAATAAATACTGGTTTCATACCGGAGCAAGAAACGCTGATTACGTTTTCATCGCATGACTTAGATGATTTACCAGATGCCGATCAAGTGCCGCCTGATTTTTCAGTTTCACTTTCGTTAACTTTCACCGATAATGAGTGTCCACCAAGCAGAAATCCACCTTGGCTGCCAGCTAAACCCAAACGCAACGCACAACATCTTTTTAGTTCGCAGTTAGAATTCGAAGAAATGGTGGATAATTTCGGTACATTCTCTAACGCTTACAAAATTTTTTACTGTTAATTTCATAATTTACAAATTTTTAATATTTAGTGACAAAGCCGACATCCAATCAGCAAACACCGCCGATAGTGAAACCGGAACCTCCAACAACAAAACCTTTGCTCTCAAATTCACCCCTAATTTTACCAGATGTTACTGAAATACGACACGAAGATGCGCAGCGGGCCCACCCAGAACCATCGCCGCCTATAGATTTGCTCAATTTGAATCAGCCTCAACCGCAGCAATGTTCGCAAGATCCACAAGCCACAGCTCTGCCCACGAGTGACGCTAGTTTCGATTTACTTGGTGCATTTGGTGATGACAATTCCTCGGGCATAGGTTCGGCCCCCATACCGGATATCTTAGGTAAGTCTTTGCCGGGGTCTTAAGTTTGTACATTTATAAACTGTATTTGCTTGTAGAAAACAATGTGCAACCCACTTCAAATGCCGATTTGGATGATATATTCGGCTCAGTTGCGTCCTCTGCACCAAAAATCAATGTAGAATTCAATAGTTTTGCTAGCGCTCAGTCAACATTCGCTGATAGTGAAACGGCAAGTACTGCAAACACGTCCAGGTCTAAAGCAACACCAACAGCAGCAACAGGGACTTTCTTCGGTTCGGTACCTTCCTTCAATACAGATTCCAACAAAGATCCATCGCCACAAAATGTTAGAAACAACCATAAATACGCTCTTGTTTATTCTCTAAATTTTATTATTTCTAACACAGGCAAAAGATCCCTTCGCAGATATTGCCGATTTGGCTTCAGGTCTCAATATAAACTTCAATCCACACACATTAGGCAGTAAATCAACTGGTGCTACGCCAATCGGCAATAGTCCATACACAACACAATTCTCTAGCCCAACACACAATACAAGTGGCGTTAGAACACCACAGCCGTCACAACAATCAACTGCCTCGCCGAATCATTTGAAGTCGCCAGCTGGTGCTGGCAATTTTGGTGCGTCCTTTTCAACCGGAACTGGACCGTTATTTACTACGCCTTCAGGTCAAAACTCTAACCGACCATCACCACAGTCCACAGCAGCTTCAGCTGGTTCAAATGCTCAATCGAATAGACCGGATTATAGTCGTTCGAATTTCGATACACCTAAGTCGGGTCAAAGCGCCGGACCGCAAAATAAGAATGCTGATATTTTTGCTGATATACTGGGTGAACAAGGTTACAAATTCGGAAGTAAAACCAACCAAGGACCCCGTTCTATCAACGAAATGCGCAAAGAAGATCTTATAAAAGAAATGGATCCAGAGAAAGTGAAAATCATGGAATGGGTGAGAATTGCATACGAATTTCTCGTTTATTTCACCTTTTCTTGTTTTGTAAAATTGCATTTTTAGACCGAAGGCAAAAAGAGCAACATAAGAGCATTATTATGTTCCATGCACACGGTTCTTTGGACTGATGCAAAGTGGACTAAATGTGAAATGTCTACGCTTATTACGCCAGCTGATGTGAAAAAGTCGTATAGGCGGGCATGCCTCGCAGTACATCCAGATAAGGTTTGGGAAAGAACGAATTCAATATGATTGTATTTTATTAATTTGTGTGTTAACTGTGTTTCTTTTTGTAGCACAATGGCACTGAAAATGAGAATATAGCGAAATTGATATTTATGGAATTAAATAATGCTTGGACTGACTTTGAGAATGATGCCACGCAGCAAAATATCTTCAATACATAAAAGGGTTGTTTAAAATGCAGGTTTCGCAGCGCACCGATGACAAAACTAACTCTCCGTGTCGCGAACCAGCTCTTTTCATGCATAAAAATAAGTTAAAAATAGTTAATTTTAAAAACTTGCATTGTTTTATGTGTGCATTATTTTTCTTAAAGCTAGCTATTAAGTGACTGGTATATGTAAAAACATATGAGCCACCTTTAACTGTAAGTTACGAGTACCGATTGTATTCATTTGTATGTAAACATATTTTTTTAAACAAACATTCTAAAGCAAGGAAAATATCCAATTTAATTGATTTATCTTTTTTTTTTACATATGGTCTGATCTATTTACTTAATTTCTGAACTAAGAGAGTATGCCTTTAATAGTTACTATTTTTATGCAATTTTCATATTTAATTGGCAATCGGCTTAAAATCGAAAATGGAATAAAAGTTTATGGTTTTTAACTTTGCTCAAAAATTTTCACGAGCAACAAACTTGGATTTGTAAAATATTTTTAAATAAACATTCATACCTGTGTATGTATGTAGATGTTTAAGCAAACAAAATCGCTTTAAATGAAAATCTCAAGAACTTTGATTTATTTTCTATTTTTTATTCGCAAATGTTTATTATCAATCTGTTGTTAAGGAGAGTATAATTACACAGCAAAAGTGTTATGTGGCATTTGAAAGCCACAAAAAATAAAATAAAATTTAAACAAATACAAAATTTTGTCAATAGTATTACGAGTATAATCTAGTATTTTAGTTTTTTTTTTTGCGTACAGTAATTTTGATAGTTCTATTTAATCAAAATTTAATTTCTAAAATAAATAGTTATTAAATATATACACCACTTAATACATTTTATTATTGTAAGCTAGCGCTTTGCTAAATTTCAAAATATAAGCAATTACAATCTAAATTGAAATGCACCATTCCAACATAATTACCAAGTTAAATAGAATCAAGAACGTTGTATTTTTTTTAGAATGTATATTTATTCGTTATAAATAAAACTTCCTATATTTTTACTATACATATATATTATATTTACATAAGAACTAAATCTAACAAAAAAAAAAGTACAGCAATGAGCTATTGTCTCCAATTATTTACAAGTGAAATAGGCGCAAATATGAAAACGGTTTGTTATTTGAATGTACATACGTTTTATGTAGAATTTATCTACGTGTAAAGCATATGGCCCGAACATTCATACATGTATGTATATACATCCATTTATGTTTGACTTTTAGCGTAAGTGTAGTGAAATTGAACGTATTTACAGTGAAAAATAGCAAATGCAATCATATTAACTTGCTATATATGTATGTATGTATGTATCAAAACATATTTTTGTGCCGCTGTATGAAATTAAATATTAAATAAAATAAAAATTAATAAAAAATCTGCACATATTTTTATCTATTATTAAAAACATTTAAATTCGTTAGCGCTTCTGAAAGTGCTTTTCGGAAATATAGAGAAGCCAAATTATTTCTACAGAAATGCAGAATCATTAGCAAATCTTATTCACAAAGTAAGTCCTGTGAAAATCAAAGCAAATCTCATTCGTAGGGAGCGGCTCGCTACCTGCCGTAAGAGGCGACTAAAATAATAAGGGTCTTTATACCGGCTCGACCCGGATATTTTATCCGGCCAGTGACTGTCACTCCCGCAACATTCCCCAAATATTACGTTGATGAATATTTTTACGGTTACAACAACAACAACACTACATTTTTGGTTTTTATGTAATTATTCGTATTGATCTTGTGATTAAACATTAAAAAAAATTAAACAAATTGGAATTGTAAAGTTTTTCTCTTTATTTATTTATATTTTGTTGTTGTATTTCAAAGAGGGTATAGAAAAGTACGTTCTATTCAATAATATGATTGTAGATGTCGCTGATGTAGCATTTCATTGCAGCAAATCTTCCAACCAATGTAGTTTTGTAGCTGACAGGGTTGATTATGATAGTAACAAATCAATGCACATTTATAAGAAATTTCTTATAACCGATTTCAACTGAAAACTGGTATATATCAGGTACACATTTCACACCATTATAAATAATTTTTAAATTTTCAACAAAATATATTTGATAATTGCTTTAATTAGTGGTTTTTGCAGTTATAGCCAAGCAGTTTGAGCCTTCAGCATAATAACATAATTTGCTACACTTTCCTCCTGCTCCTTTTTTGCCACTCCGTTGCAAAATTCAAGTAGCAGCAAACGCAGTTTAGTAGTCTTGGAGTGTTCTTCTTCAAGGCAGGTTTTATTATTGGGAAAATGGCGATAGGATTCGAATGGTTAAAAACTACAGCGGACAACTCGTGTATATTTGATAAAGAAAAAGAGTAGATCTCGAATATTTTTAAAAGTTTAAAGTGAATCAAAGGTGACTTGATTGTTGTTTGGACAAATATAAGAATGGAAAATCTCGTTAAAAAAGGTAAAAAAAAATATTTTTGTTAGCAAACGAACAAAACCACTCCTGCACTTAATCAAACGGCAGAAGACGACTATTGTACATTTTTTTTTCTAAATCACTTTACTGCGTTTGTCGATTAGGGCTGGCTGGCGGTGTAGTTTTGTAGTGTAGTTGCTAGTGTGTGGTAGTGCGATATTTATTTTTGGCCCAAGGGTTTCGTGTTGGTTAAAAAAAAGTATTGAATTCAGTTACTCCATTAAATAATTCTCTAATAAAAGTTATGTGGGATTAAATGTATAGAATCGTGGGACTAAAAAAAAGTTTCACTTGATAGAAAAATCACGTATTGTAAGTATTTTTTTAAGTTAAGATAACCTTAAAGGCTTTCAAAATATACAAATTTAAAATAATAAATGTCTACAAAATTAAAGAGAAGGACTTGTCTTGTATTATGTTTAGAATAAAATAAAATAAATGAAACATTTTTATTAATTGCTTAATGAAATGAACATCTTTAAATTGTATTTAATAAATGCCTCTGTCATATTTGGCGGAATTTTTTGGAACTACCTAGATATATTCATGTTTCTCCGCAAACAAACTGATTTATATATTCACCATACTGGATCTAGCTAAATTCTATGTTTTGATCTTTGGAGAAAACGTCGTAAATCTGTAATGATCTAAGATACATAAATTTATTTACAAAGGAGTAAAAAATTGTAAATTTGTTGAAGACAGTAGCATATTTTATAGAAAATAAAAATACAAATTCAAATTAAGAGTTTTAGAATGAGTTGATACTAAAAAAATATTTAAATATTTATAAAATAAATTTGTTTTGATTCTTACTCGAGGTAAAAATCAACCCCATTCAAGTTCCTTTCAAAACAAAATGCTTAAAAATATCATCAATCGAAATTATTATATTTTTTAAATTCTAGATACGGTGGTGCAAGATAATCTATTGCATTCAGAGAATCTGTTGCATTCTGATTCGCCTAATAACAAAACTTGCGAGCAACAACCACAAAATCAACAACAAAAAACGAAACGTAAACACAGAAGAGGCAAACCAAAGGCCAAAAATGCAAATAAACCGTACAAAAAGTCGAATTGGAAATTTCAGGTGCCACGACCAAATTTCAATGGAGGAGGAGGTGGAATGAATAATAGAAATGGGGCACGTCCGAAAATCCTTCGATCACGATCACTGGTGCCATACAATACGAATAAGTTCCTTATGGAAGAACATTTAGCAGAGGTGCCAAGTGCTTTGCTAACACCATCTGGTCGTACACGTGATTCAAGCTTTTCAGTGGACTCCGAAGATAATTACTTTTTTTCTTTGCCTGAGGATGAGGAAGAGTTTTTGACAAAAGAGTTTGCTAATGTATATGAAAAGGCGAGAGTTGAACGTTTAGAAAATTTAACCAAACAGCAATTAATTGAAGAATGTTTGCAAATCGAGGATCGGTATTCATCCGACCAAGGACGCCAGCAACAACGAATAAGTTCAGAGTTTATGTCAAAAATACGAATTTTAGAGGAAAAAGTTCGAGAGCTATCACGTGAGAATTACAGTAAGTGTTTTTATAAAATTGCCTATACAAAACGTTAGTTTAAAAGCTAATATTGATTTAATTAATTTTAGATTTACGGTGTCAATTAATGCGATCGGCGGCAATGGCAGTAGCTGCCTCACCACCGTCTGCGGCCCCGCCGATTGGTGCTGCTTGTGAACCAACACCGATGGACTCTTCTAGTGTTGATAGTGAAAGTGACAGCTCTAGCTCCTCCTCCTCATCATCATCTAATGGGAGCGCAGATATCGAACGTCCTAATAATCTAAGGCAACGACGGCAACGCCGAAGCTGTTCTTCAGGTAGTTCCTTAAGCGATTACAGAGCATTTAAGGAGAATCAGCAAATGGAAAGTGATGAGGACGATAAAATTGTGACAAGTCCTAATGTTAATGTGGTTACTGAAGGTAGCAGTGAAAACAAAACTGCGGAACTTCCAACAGAGTTTGTATGTGAGGGTCGTCAGTCGTTGGAGTCGAGCTCATTTGAAGAATGTATAGCGAGCCCAAACGACGGCATCGCTTCTCTCGATGCTGCAATGGAGGATGAGTTTCCTTCGTTTTCTCCGCTTTTGGGTGGCGTCGACACTTCTCCATCTTGTGAGATGGCAATATCAGCTGCCTTCAGAACTCAATCCCACACAAAAGGTGCGGAGGACGCCGGTAGTGCTGAACAAAATTATAACTGAAAGCTTATAATATCACAACTTCACTTAATTTATTTTTCCATTTTCCTTCTGTTTAACTCGACTGAGTAAGCGTTAACGTTATTTTTGTTTTTACCCAACTCTAGCATGATATCAACACATTAATCGGCAATAATTTCGTTACATACAAACATAAAGTTTACTACAAAGAGTAAAAATAATAATATTAATTTTGTTTATCTTTACTTGTATAAAGGTTTAAGATAATAGTTCGGAAATTGACCTAATATAATGCTGCTCTTGGGATTATATTTGCTTAGACTGTACAATTTTATCTATTAAATTACATGATTTGAACATTTTCATCAGAGATTTCATTGTAGGTTTAAATTGTATGTTTGCGTCTATGACAGATTTGAAATGGTATATATGTGTTTCTACCAAAAATTGTACTAAATATTTCTTCCGAAAGGAGCAATTCGTTCATCTGATTTTTTTTTTTTTTTTTTTTTTTTTTTCTATTACCGACATAACATTCTTTGACCACTATTTTGCATTTTAAGTTTATGAATGTGCATTTATCATTTAAATTACGAATTTCAACGCTTCTCTATTTACTAAAAAATATATGTACAAATTTGAGTTTGAATTTCTTTTAAAATTTTGTAGATATAAAAATTAATACAATAAAAGTTTTACTATACAGTACACAAAGAAAAATCACTTCTCTCGCGTACAAATTGTTTGATACAGATTTTTTTTTTAACTGATTCATTATTTTTTAGTCACTTGTCGCAATGCTCGAACATTTTTGGTAAACAAAATCACACATATATAATAATACCAAACTTGTGATATTTTCATGTGTAACTTTTAATAAAAAATTGAGAAAAAATCAAACCTTTTTGGCGGATAAAAATTGAAAAATGAAAAAAATATGCAAAAATTTTATATTTTTGGAATTCATTCATATTCTTAATATTAAACAAATCAACTTATTTAAAAACGTGAATATTAAGACAAGACTACTAATGTAATTAGTTATGTACATTTGTGTAATTTCAAAAATATTGTTTTCATTTTAAGATATAGTAATAAAGACATGTATATATGTATTTAACATTTGTAACAAATACATTATTATATAGAGTAACCCCTTATACATACATATATAAATGTTTTATTTTAAAAATAACAAATCAAATTGCGTGTGCAGATAGTTTGTAGAAAATAATTTTTGAAAGAGATAAATAAAAATTAATTACTTGGATGAATTTACATTGCTATCATTCCCTAATGAATCCGTTTTCTGTTTAGTGTGTTATGAGTAAAGTCGGGACCTTATAAGTCTATAACACGTTTGAATACGTGTGTTAAAAAAATGGCATAACAAATGTTCTACCCACGCGTATGACGTAATAATGTTTCTTAAAATTCTTAAATTTTTTGCGAATTCGCACAAAGCCTTCCTCGAATCATCTTTAAAATTTGCGTATGTTTGGTGAGGATTTCGATTTTTTTATATATTTGTAAAATAAATTTTAAAATAAATGAATTCACACGGTTTCACCATTTTGTGTGTACAACGTCCTATTCTTATTCAGACTTCTTTTCACGGTGTAATATGTCTGCATCATAAGTGAATGCAACCCTGTTTGTGAAATGTTTATAAATGAGTGCGAAATAGAACGGGCGATTAAAGCAAAGGAAAACGTCAAATGTAAAGCATCGTCCGCATTTTCTACATTTTGATCAGTGAATTGAGTGAAAATTTTTGCAATTATAAATTTTTATACGCAAAGTTATTGAAGTATTGTTAATATTATAACAAAATGGATAAGATAACGCGCAAAAATGTGCCCGCTGAAGATTTATCAAACGTAGAGTTTGAGACGAGCGAAGATGTTGAGGTGGTGCCAACTTTCAATGCCATGAACCTGAAGGAGGAGCTGCTGCGTGGTATTTATGCATATGGTAAGTAGCATGTGGAGAAAGTTTTAATGTTCATTACTATAAAAAAAAATGTTATTTTTATAATCATAGGATTTGAAAAGCCTTCCGCTATACAACAGCGTAGTATCAAGCCCATAGTTAAGGGTCGCGACGTCATAGCACAGGCTCAATCTGGTACTGGTAAGACGGCAACATTTTCAATTTCGATTTTGCAAAGTCTGGATACGACTTTGCGTGAAACTCAAGTATTGTGTTTGTCACCAACTCGAGAATTGGCAGTACAAATCCAAAAGGTCATACTGGCTCTCGGTGACTTTATGAATGTTCAGTGCCATGTGTGTATTGGCGGTACAAATTTGGGTGAAGATATAAGAAAATTGGATTATGGGCAACATATTGTTAGTGGTACTCCTGGACGTGTTTTCGACATGATTAAGCGACGTGTGTTAAGGACTAGAGCAATCAAGATGCTGGTGCTCGATGAAGCAGATGAGATGTTAAATAAAGGTTTTAAAGAGCAAATTTATGATGTGTATCGTTACCTACCGCCGGCAACACAAGTAGTGCTTATATCTGCCACATTGCCCCATGAAATACTGGAAATGACATCAAAATTTATGACAGATCCTATTCGCATTCTTGTAAAACGGTAAGTTTTAGAAGATCCTATATGCATATATTATATTACGAGTATATTATTTAAATTTGGAAATTCATTAAAAAAATTTTTCTTACATATTATAGCGATGAATTGACTTTGGAAGGCATTAAACAGTTCTTCGTCGCAGTTGAACGTGAGGAATGGAAATTCGACACACTTTGTGATCTCTATGACACATTAACAATCACACAGGCCGTAATTTTCTGCAACACCAAACGCAAGGTGGATTGGTTAACAGAAAAAATGCGTGAGGCAAATTTTACTGTAAGCTCCATGCACGGTGACATGCCACAGAAGGAACGCGATGAAATCATGAAAGAATTCCGTGCTGGTCAATCACGTGTACTGATAACAACAGATGTGTGGGCGCGTGGTATTGATGTACAACAAGTATCGTTGGTTATTAATTACGATCTACCAAATAATCGTGAGCTTTATATTCACCGCATCGGTCGTTCAGGACGTTTTGGCCGAAAGGGTGTTGCAATTAATTTCGTTAAATCAGACGACATACGCATCCTACGTGATATTGAACAATATTACTCGACCCAAATCGATGAAATGCCCATGAACGTGGCTGATTTAATTTAAAAAAAAAAACTAGATTTAATTCTTTAAATGATCTATGAACATGTGACCGATTTGTAAAAAAATAAGGTAAAGCAAATCTTTTGGCACAAATCGGGTTTGAAAATAAGATAATTTAACAATTAAAATAAATATATGAAGTAACTTACGTATATAATACATATGCAGTTAACAAAGATTTCAATAAATTAATTGAATACCCATAAAAATCGTTTTCATAATTTAATTGATAAATATATGACGTTAGCATATATTTTATTACAGGTAGGAGACATTATTAAAAATTCAAGGCAAGATTCTTTATTGTTGTTCCGTATTTATTTGTTTTCTAAATTAATTTATATTAATATGCTAAATTATATTATCCTTTGGTTTACGGAAAAGCCAATTCGAGTTGAACTCATCAATGGGCTCATTCTCTTTTACTTAGAAATATTTTTGAAAAAATCGCAAATTTTTATGTTAAAGCCTCAGGCTTTGTTGGAATTTGTACAAGGGTATTTGCCGTCTGAATTTGGTTAAGCGCATTATTACTGCTAGTTGTGCTATCAACTTTCTTTTCAGGTTTTAAAAGCGTTCCCAAAACGATTCCCAGAAACAAAATCAAGCCTACTTGGTGGTTCGAGAAGAATTTTTTCGCGCAGTCTGTCGGATTATCAATATTTAGGGAATATATCTAAAAAATAATAGTTATTATTATTATTGGTAATAATAATTAATGTTATATTACCTGTTGTACTAAATGGGCGCCCACTACACCAACAGCCGCGTAGTATGCTACTGTTTGGTCTGTTGCTAAACCAGCCATTGTTAGTCCTGTCAGCATAGCTGTAGTGAATCCCGATAGCCATACTTTGGTATTCTCGCCAAATCGCAAAGCTGTGGACTTCACTCCAATTTGTATGTCATCGAATTTGTCCTGATGAGCGTATATAGTATCATACACAATAGTCCAGCAAATACCGGATAGATACAACGGCAAACAAGCCTCCCAATTGACAGCTCCTTGGGTGGCACACCAGCCCAAAAGTGCACCCCAATTGAAGGCCATGCCTAACACTAGTTGAGGCCAGTAAGTAATTCGCTTCATCAAAGGATACGTTATGACTAGTCCTAACGAACTTGCTCCTAATACTATTGATTGCCAGTTTAGCTGCAGTAATACTAATAGACCCAGACTCAATTGGGCTGAGAGAAATACAATAGCATCAAATTGGGTTATTTCTCCTGAAGCTAAAGGACGGGTACGTGTGCGTTCCACTTTCGCATCAATATCCTTGTCCCAGAGATCATTTATAGTGCAACCGGCACCACGCATTATGAGCGCACCGGTAGCGAAAAGGCCTAACATTTTCCAATCGGGCCAGCAACCAGCATTCGCACTGAGCGCAATACTCCATCCGCAGGGCCAGAATAACAAGTAAGTTCCTGCACAATGTGCAACTCAATTAGAGAATCGTTTAAAAAATTCTTATTCACTCACCTATGGGTCGATCCAGGCGCATCAAGCGACAATATGGAGAAAAAGCTTCTCTCATGCTTTGTTTAGGCATTTCTGTTCTACTAACTTGACTATCAAGCTTATCGCTCGAGGCGAACGTTTGAGTTTTGACTGTGTCAGTTAATTGTCTTTTTTTGTTATCATTACTTGCATATCGATTTACATTATCATGTAATGTCCTGACGGCAATGCTCTTCTTTAACGGGAAATTCGTTTCGGTACAATGTTTTGGATTCGCATTAGGTGGTTTGGTTGTTTTGGTTAAATACCTTAAACTACTAAAACCAATATGCACTTTTTTACTATTTAAATTAATCATTCTTTCATGTAAGCATATTTGTGGTGCTATGTAGGCGATCGTAGGTAATCGTATACTTTTCTGCAGAATATGAATATTGCGTAGCAAAGACATCTTCAGTTGTTAAGGCGGGTATTAGAACTGCAAAATTTGAAATTTCCAGTTTGTTATATCAAAGTTATTTGCATACGATTAACTCACCTTTCACACTATGGCAAGATTTGTTTAAAATTGCACGCTCGACCTTTATCTACTTTTCTAAGGTTTTTGTTTCTTTTTGTCACTTTAGTATTTTTAAAACTTGATTATAATGGCTTGTTAGTGCTCTCTTTTCACAATGCAGTTGACTCGGCATTTGTTTCGTAACCTTGAAAACCTTTTCCTCCTATTATATTTGGATGGTTGTAAATGTGAGAAGTAGCTTCTAAAACTGAATCACAGTTCGTCCTTTCACTGTCAATTGGTTTTTATGTGATATTTTTAGTAAAAATGTGAGGAATTTAGTTGATCCAATCACATTTCTATGGAGAGCTAAAACACAAAAACATACGACCGCCACAGCATGTTTTTGACACTTTGCTTATGCCCCCCATTCGTGGGGTTGCATAAGAGCTGCCAACATCTAATTTTTTTTATTCTTCTTCTTGCACATAAGGCGCTTCTAAAAATTTAATAACGGTTGATGGTAAAAGGAAAAAGGAAACGGATAAAGTTCAACGGAAGCATATAATATTAAGTTTTTAAAATAATCGAACTGGGAGTTATTATAGTAAAACAAGTTGACATGAAATTTTTTTCAACAACAAAATAAAGAGTTCTTTTGGTATTTTAGTCATACAATAATTTTTAGTTTTTTTCCAATGTTGATTTTTGTTAAAAGAACTCACAAAAGCAAAAAGAAAAACTTTTCTCTGCATTCACATCCACATTTGCGTACTTCAGCACGACCCAAAGTATAATTTTTAATAATATTCAAATTATGTAAGGGTTTATGGGGTTTGATTTTTAAAAATTGTAAACATTTAGCAGCAAATGATGTTATTATAGAGTTTTTACTTTATATACTTGTATATATATATGTATTAAAATTATCAATTTTAAGTAGGGTCATATGAAACAATTTGAATTTTTTTGCTTTGTGGAAGTTTTTTTTTTTTTTTTTTTTCTATTTCTATAGGGATCAACTTTTCAAATGATTATGAAAAAATATTTAAGACGATTATAGCATAGAACTTTTGGCAATTCGGTGGTAAAAGTCAACGCACAAACCCATTTTTAATCGGTCAAAGAAATAAGCTTCGCCAACATTTGCACACCTCCCCAGAGGGACCGAAAAGTTTACTTCTTGAAAATGAACATTTCTTGCACACGGCACCAAATAAAAATGTATGCTACCTAAGTTTTTGCACACGTCCACCTGATGGCCGGTTAACTGCTATAGTAGAAATGAGTGTCACAAGTGCTGCTATCAAATCCAGCGCGACAGTCATTGCCGGCGCAAAAGTCGCAAGACTAACTAACTTATGTACGGAATAAAGAACTGAATGCAAACAAATACAAAAATAAACAAAAAAAAAAAAATAAGCGCAGATATACTACTGCTATATGTTGCTACCTTAATAAATGTATAAAAATTTAATTCGTTTATTTTTTTTATAACCGGCGACAATTATTAATATGTATGAATGTATGTACATATGTATATATGCAAAGAGTACTCAATGTGGCTATTAAATATTTGAAATACGATCGATTATAGAATTTATTATTGTGTTTTGGTTGGTTGATTTAAAATACTTTTAGGTTTTTATAGAGATTAACTTTTATCACGCCTTTGTTTAATGCAGAAAATTTTCTATTTTAAAAAATATGTGTGAAAGGGTGTGATTTAAATAATTTTATACATATGTATGCTGAAAATGTATTTATATTAATTGTATCAAATCAAATTGTATATCTTTCTTATCGTCGAATGACCTTTCAACGGAATGCATTATCTTATTGTCTGTAGAACAGAACTATCCCTCAAATGTTGCTTACTTATTACATTTGTTACTATGATAGTACGTTTGTTTATGTGGGTAAGTGTGTGTGTGGAGTTGCAATTACAACAATAACACAAACTGATCGGTTTCCAGTCTGTGCTTGCTCTCTCTCCCTATCTACTACTAAAGACACATATATATATCTCTATATGTTTGTTTGTACGTATGTATGTATGTATAAGCTTCTCTCAACCACAGCGCTATGTTATTTTATTGCTATAACACTTTTGTTGTAGTATCTCTTATCAATGGTCGTAAGTAATTGTTCTTGTCATGTTTGTTGATTTGTTTTCTTTTTTGTTCTTGTACGAACATTTTTTTTCTTTAAAAAAGCCTCAACTGGCTACTGTAAAAACCAGTACAGGTCTCACTCTCGCTCAACGTGTGCTGAGTAAGCTCCATTAGACACAATATCTCGCCCTCTGTGAGACTCAGACGATTAAAGCAAGATTAGTTGACCACAGCACAGTGACTAGGAATAAGGTGGTGTACCGCATATTTTCTGGGTGTGTACGAGTACTCACAGAAACCTGCATGTGCAATTTGTAAAAAAAAAAAATTAACTTTTTTTTTTGGTTGAGTTCAGTTTACCTGCAATCCGTATTGTATTTTCAATAGTATTAAAGAAAAAAAAATTGATTAAATTTGATCAAAATGGATATGGGTCATATGCATGATAATGCTACCGCAGTGAAGGCATCTTGCCCAATGATTATGGTGGTAAGTTTACTATTTAACTAATACTGATATAATAACACATGCACATACATACATAGGTGTACGCTTTTATTAATATTTTATATACGCTGTTAGTCAGTCTATGCTAAAGTAGACAAAGCTGAGCTTTAAGTTAATTGAGAGTACAATTTTTAATTTAATTTTTTTCTTTACTTAGTCTCAGTGTCTCTTCTCTATACTTTGTTTAATAATATTAATGTTGGGCTATACGAAAGCCCAAACTAAATATGCATATATATGTACATGCTTATGTATGTATATATATTTACATATACCTATATGTTTATGAGCTTACAATATTAAATAATTGAGAAATTTGTCAGACTCTCTCTGCATTATTATTAAATTCATGAAAAGAGAGATAATTGAGCGAATTACCTTTGATAGCTTGCCCAAATTAACTAGGGTAAGTCTGTCAGCATTGATTTGAAGTCTATATATTTTTTAAAACAATTCGTTTGGTTAAAACTAAACTTGAAGAAATATGAAATATAAATATAAAACCAATTTAATATAGCAAATCTTTGATCAGCAATTTTAAAATGTTATGAAAATCGTTTTGTTTTTTATTAACATAACAAAATTATTTAAAACTCAATGAAAGTTAAGCTGAGCTCAAGGTTTGTAGAGTATAAGATTATGCCATGACAAATTTTATGACGGAGTTGGTTAAATTTTTTTGGCTGCCAAAGTCTTAAATATAAAGTTTGGATCATTTTATCCATAAAACGGCTTATGATTTTGATTATAAAATTTTAAAGGTTCGCATTTTACTTCTTTAAAATCAATATCAAATTGAATTAATTAAGATTTGAACAGTTTTACCGTGAAAGAATATGTTTCAATAATCAAAAAAAATTACATTATAAAAGTTAATTAGTTTTGAACAAAAATGTCTCTCGCTAGCAACTCCAACATTTGATGTCCATGTAAAACGAATGACGTTCAAGGCAGTAATCTCCTTAGAACCCGAAACAAAGTGTTTTTCACCATTTCAGCAGGTAGAAATTTGTTTAATTGGAATTTTCCAGTGTTGTGACTAGTTTTCTGAGGCGGCTGCATTCTGAACTTGTGAAACGATGTCAGTGATGGGGATCATGAGAAGCATTTGAAACAGTCGAACCAATTTTTTTTTTAATTTTATGAACTAAAAAATTCCGAATACCGAAGTTGCAAAAAAAAAATTATTTTAATAACACTATTGATTTTTTTCGATCGTACATATATCCTTTTTGATATCGCCGGCACCGTTAAGTCTTTTAAAATGAAAACTGTAGCTTCTAAAATATGTCGAATTTTGAAGACAAATTCTTGGATAGTTTTAGAATAAATTTAAGAAAAAATGCATTTTTGAAGCCCTTAAAGCATATTACTGCATTAAAATTATCAAAAATCAAAGCGAGCGCAACTTTGAGAAATTGTTGATTTCTATCTCGCCAAAAAATCTCGTTTAAAAATTGGAGGCGGTGAGCAAACGCGTAGTGGGTTATTGTGAACAAAAATGTGAAGTAAATTAATATTTATATTTTTTAGAAAATTAAAACAAAGATGCAAAATTTTAGCACACGACGTCATCTGCATTTACTGCATCATTTTTATAAATTAACTAAGAGACTTTTTATTTGGAAACTTGAAGTTTTAACGCAAAAAAAGGAGAATTCAACGAAAAGCTATATATACAAAATACGAGCATATGAGAAGGAATGAAGTAAATTATTATTAAAAATTGTATAATTTATGTTTTTATCGTCATAGGTGTTACACGTTTACATTTCCGGAAATTCTTCCCAAAAAATAACAATAATTTTATTTATATAAATATCAAGTCTCCTTCACTGTAAATATGACGATGATGATTGGTACGGTGACACCAACGACTGTCGTAACCTTCCACTCTATAAACCTTTAGCTGAGCTAGTACTAAAAAAGGAAATTTAACAAAGAAGCCTTTTACTTTTTTTTTTAAATCATGTATTAAATTGTAAAAAAATTTTATTTTAATTTTTATAATTGTAAAAAAATTTTATTTTTATTTTTTATAAATGAAAAAAAAAATTAATTGGCAAAAATTTTATTTTAAATTTTCTTTCTTAATTTAAGCTCTCACAACACTCTTTTTATTAATTTTAACGTATATGAAGGCGTTTTTTTAACACAAAGCATTTGTACATCGCTTTAATTATCGCTTTCCGAATTGGTTATGATTCAGAAATTAATCAGCTGATCTTGGTTTGACAGATGGTAAACCGCTTTTTATGGCATGATTAAGCTCTTAACTTAAACTTCTTGATACATACTCGTATACATATGCTCGAAGAATTTAACTAAATGATATAATTATTTTATTATATTTTTTTTAAATTTATTTTAATTAATTAATTAGTTTTTTTTTCTAAATAAAATTTAAATTTATTACTTATTAATGAAATATATATTTTTTATTTCTACACAAGAATAGCAGAAGTAGTCAAAAGCCAATAATAATAAGAAATTTTAAAAATAATTTATACTTAGAAGTTAATTAATAATATTTATTAATCAACAAATTGGCGATGGGAATTTTTTTTTAGATATATTTGCCATAACTATTTTCAAAAGGAGATTAATGAATCTACTCCATAAATATGAAGATTAATTTTCATTATAAATATTTATGTATATTTTGGCGGACGAGTTAGTCCAGTGTTTGGCACTGTGCACTACCATCCCGAAGGGTCCTGGTCAGACCTGCAACCAAAATTATTCAAAGTTATAATTGCCCTCCATAGGAAAAGTAAATCCGCCTTTATATTTCTGATATAAAAATAAAACTCCTGATGAATCAGAGGCAGCCTAGAATAAATTTTATATGCCACCTTTTGTTGAAAAAAAAAAAACATCCAGGCGCACATCATGAAACGGCGGAAGACCTGGGCCGAAAATCTCGTTGGAAATTATTCATAATCTTTTAAATTCGAATGAAAAAAGTATGAAATTTGAAGTTAAGGAATTTGAATTCAATTTAACGATATCGTTTTGCATTCGTATTTATTTTATTTTCTTATATTATTATTAATATTGGGGGTGCAAATTAATTCGATCCGATCGATGTGATGTGGTGTTGCATCATCTGCTTCTGCCCACAACATTGTGTTTTGCTTCTTCGAAAATTGTAAGAAAATTGAAGCTGAAGCCAATCGAATGCTTGTGGAAGATTATGCTGAATCTGCGCCGACCCCTAACTCATGATTTCGACGCTGCAATGGTGATGATTTTAACGTCGAAGTTAAAGAACGTCCTGGCCAATGCAAAAAGTGTGTAGAAGAGGAGTTTGAGGCTTTACTGGGTCAAGTAAGATCAATGCCAAGCGCAAGCTAAACTTGCAGAATCTTTTGGAATGACTTGCCAAACGATTTTCGTTTGATTAAAGCAATTTGAATTTATTCAAAAGCAAAGAAATTGGGTGCCCCACAAGTTGAAGCCGAGAGTTGATGAAAGGTCATTTTTCACCTCGGGTCTGCTTCTTTGAAGGCATCAATGGAAGGGATTTTGTCGCCGGATCGTGAATGGAGATGAAAAGTAGATGTAGTGCGATAATCCCAAGAAAGATAAGTACAATGCCAAGACTGGTAAGTCCGCTCCATATTCGAAACCAAAGAGAAACTTCCACTATTCTAAGGTGTATGTAATATGAGCATCTAAAACCAGACGAAACCATTGATGCGAAACTGTATCGACTTTGAGCCGTACCAGAAACGACCGAGAGGCATGACAAGTTTACTTTGCAACATGACAACGCTCCTTACGTAGTTGCAACGGTCAGAAACCACTTGGATGTGCTCAAATGGGAGTTCTTACCCACCCGTCGCATTACCCATACCTTGCTCCTTCTTTTCACCGACTTTTTGGATGGGTTCAAAACTATTTAGTGGTGACCGGTTAAGGTCTTTTGAAGAAATCAAAGTAGGGCTCAACGATTCGATCGGGAACAGAGGGAACTTATTTTTTAAAATTGGTATTCGAAAAATACCAGAGATATGGGAAAAAGTATTCACTTCCAATGGACAACAACAAATGACATATTTTTTACATTGTTTTTTTCAATAAAAAATCTTTGTTTGAACACAAAGAAAGGGAACGAAGGAATTTGTATATTTTTTATTATTTTATTTATTTATTTTTTTGTTTTTTTAATATTATTTCATAATTTTGTCTATTTGAAATTTGAATTGAATGCAATGTAAGTGCTACATATGTACGAGTATATGTGTGACGTTTGCATTCCCAAACAATTAACGGTATTTATGTTGGGCAGCAACAATTATTACTGAAACCTAAGAGCATAGCGAGCCAAAAACCGAGTGAAATTTGCATCGAGAGGGCGCAATTTTGACAATCCATTACTGTCTAATGCTTACTGGCATTTATTACCGAACACAGCTAAAAATAAAATTAAACTAATTTCGATCGCCCCACCGTTATATGAATAAATATTTTTTTCTTAATTTTTTTTTTTTTTATAAAACACTATATTTTTTAAAAGGAATAAGAAGCTTGCAAAAAATACCAAAACCATTTAAAGAAGAAAGTTAAGCAAAGTGGCAACGCTGTTTAAAACTGGTTTCCTTTACGCTATCTCTGCCTGAAATATTTAGCTTATGCAATGCAAGTAGTTACCAATTAAACTATGTATGTACATACACTCACTAATTTTTCTATGTAACCCATAATTTTTTTTATTGCGTATTTAATCAAAATATATGCATAGCAACAATTGCATATGGTTAGCGGGTTTCTTTTCTAACATTCTCACCCACCTCCTTTACATTGTACATAATTACATACATATATACATACATAGTTGCGGTATACATAACTAATAATTTAGTAAATAAGTACAATACATAAATACATACATACATATATGTAATTTCAGTCCTAATTCCTCAAAAAAAAAACACTAATTCCCAAAATATTGTAACATATTTTTCTCATTTAAAATC